TCCACGAGTTGGTTTGCGCTCTACTGATCCAAAGTAATGAGATACTACAAAATCAAGACAATCATTTGCAGCCCATTGAGGCGGAAGAGATGGTTCTCGATACGTCGCGAGCAGCAACTTGAGAGTGGATGCAGGATATTGGTCCATTGATGTAAGCATGAGTTCCTCCCATATATGGGGACGAGTCTCTGCGGGAATTCGATGCCAGATGGTGGCTAAGGCAGCGACATTGTCTTGCTTAATGAATAACAACTTCGTTGCCGTAGGAAAATTCGAAAAAGCTACCTTGTTGTATTCTAGGGTAGAGTAATCTTTTAAGGCATCTTCATGTCGCTGATTAATAATGGCAAAATGCAAAGACCACTTCTGTAACTTCATGATGTTGGCTTCAGCATCCGAGTTTATTATGAGATACTTAGTTGGAAGCTTTGGGAGGTCTTGCTGCATTGCCCAAAGCTCATACTGTTCACGCAATGTGTGAATTGGTCCCGAAACAGTTGCCAGTGGTGATGCAAGGCCTCTCAAACTTTTAGTCCGAGGTGTGAATGGAGGTGTGGGGGACGATGATTGTTGAGGCGTCGACCTTGGAAAATCGTGTGGAGGAAGGACAGCGGAGTCTCCGATGCGACCCGTCTCGATATTGCTTGGCGGGGAAACGTCTTCTACATCCAGTGGGATTTGGCGGGAAATGCATTCTAATCGCACATGACGTGCCCCTGGTATAGGAGTCAAAATCACACGGTGTGCTCCTGAGAAACCATCTGGTACCGCATTTGATTCAGGTGGAAACATTGTGTCCGCAGAACCTTTCATTCCCGAGTCTTGACGAGTTGATATGGCGTTGCTCGACTCAGTCTCCATACGCGCATCGGACTCGAGTTCATGTGGCCCCTTGGAGTGATCTCCGCCGGCCGAGCCATCTCTCCCATTATCTTCAGCTATACTCTCGAAACCAGACTTCGAATGAAAATGTCTAATAGACTCATGGGCAGGAAACCCTGCGTTGCCAAAGGAAGTGGGGATTGTTCGCCGCTTGCTGAATCTAGTGTATTTCGTCTCGGGTTGCACTGTAACATTTGGTGATATATTTCCAACGCACTTTGAATATGTATCTGTCCGCCTCCTAGCTTTTGGTAGCGAACACTCATCATTGTCTTGGTTTCGACCTATTTTCGTCTTCAAAAGAACTTTGGAGGGCCATGGTTGAAAGACTCGAGGTGCAAGGAACGGAAGTATTGGCAATTCCGATGGCGACCATCGTCTTGGTAGAGAATTCGAAAATGGAGGCATCGGCTGCCGGCATGCATTTTCCAATCCATTGACTGCTTGCTACCATAAAATTGTCAATTGAGGGCATTCTTAAAAATTGGAGCCCCGGAGAATTAAGGTTTATCTTAGCGGCTGCGGTGAAATCAGGCTGAGATTGCCGGGAGCCAATCAAATCTCACATCAGAACTTCAAGATCTCTCCCGGCTGTGATTTCTTACCTATTGATTCCGATAGCTGCAATATATCAAAAAAAAACCCATTTAAGCTATACGCCAGATTATCACATCATATAAAATTGGGCAATGTCATCTACACATGCCACTCTAGGCGCCGCAACAGATGAGCGTAAAGCGCGACTCGCAAAGCTCAAATCCCTGAAAAGAAAGCAACCTGCCGACGAGATCGTAGCACCAGAATCCACACGTTCACCCTCACCACCCGCCTCCCCCGATGTCGCGAAACTTCATCTCTCGGGACGAAATTACGATGCTGAAGCCAAAGGTCCTAAGCTCGGTTTTGAAGCTCCTCCAACATTAGCGCTCGAGAAACCTACACTTGAGCAGCAGGCTGCAGAGGTTGAGGAGGAAATTAGGAGGAAGGCGGAGGAAGAGGAACAGGATGATAAGGGGGTGGATTTATTCAAATTACAGCCTAAGAAACCTAATTGGGATTTGAAGAGAGATATGGAAAAGAAATTGGAGGTTCTGAACGTACGGACGGAGAATTCGATCGCAAGGCTAGTGAGGGAACGAATTGAGAATGCGCAAAAGGTGGCTAGGACGACGGCTGGGAAGGGCACTGTAAATGCAAGTGAAGGTGGAGAAGAGATGGGGATGGAAGGTGTTGCTTTGGTGGAGGGAGTCAAGCTACGGGAAAGGGAAGAGGAAGAGGAAGAGCGACGGGAAAAAGAAGATGAAGATTTACAATAAGATCCATCTCGAGATATGTTATCCGATTGCACAAATGGCGTTTATTAATGGAAGCATGGTATGAGGCGTATGGCGTCCCAAAGGTTTAAAATAGATACAAAAATTGGCAGATAGCCAAAGGGTATTTCTCGACCATCACACGCATCAATCCTCCCCATCCTTCATCGGCCCGTATTCATTGCCTGTGTGAGTTCCAATCTCTTACTAAAAGGGCTCATACTCCTCTCTCTTTTTGGAGGTGGGGCATGGGGTTCAGCGGACGCGAACGACTCCCTACGCTCTTGCTTGATCTGAGGCTCATCAATTCGTCTTCTATCATTTGAAAGCCCTCTTCTGCCTCTATATGGGCTTCGACTTTCAGTTCTTCTCCCACGCGCATTAGGGCTTCGATCGTTGAACTTCTTTCTGGTACTTCGACTGTTTGCTCTTTCTCTTGAATTTCTCATCTCTTGTTCATCTCTAGAACTATATGAGTCTACGGAAGAGAAAGAGTCTCTTCTCCGCTTCTTTCCCGAGTCCCGTATATCTTGTTGAGGTGGTGGCGATGGCGACAAGCTTGGGGTTCTACGCTTATAGCGACTGGACGTTGGTCGGGATGGTGAATGTGACCGTCTTACAGGCCTTGAACTGTATGCATCCGGTGCACGTCGAGCTTCTCGTGAAGGTGAACGTGAAATGTTTGTAGATATTGTCGAGACAGATGATGCAGAAGAAGCAGAACGCCTTCGCTTGGCAGCTCCCATATCCATGTCCTCACTCTGTCTCTCACGTTTGCGTCCCCTTTCCTTCTCCAGTTTCGCAAGTTGCTCATCCGCGATACCCTTCCTAACATAAGTAGTCAGCACAAGCTGCTCCTAGCCCCAATTATAAATCAGAATTTAACAAATGCCCCAATCTCGTAATGTGCCCCCAATAAATGTGAAGAAACAATTGACACAGCGAGAACTGAGGGCCTAATTGCTAGCATACTCCCAAACTCTATCCTGGGGCCATTGGGGGAAAAGAGAAAAGGGCGACGGAGCTGGGGCGTAGCTGAGAAATACCTACTTCTTTAAAAGATCCTGTGGTATATCACTTGTCAGTTTTGGAATAAGTTTAGGATTGGCGAGTTGTTGCGTTCGAGAGGGTCGGGAAACATATGGACGTTCCTGCGCATTTGCTTTACATTCATAGCTGTAGTGCCGTAAAGAGCAATTAGCTAAAAGGAATCAGATTAAATTTATAAGATGGACATATCTTTCTTGAGACACTTTTGACACATGGTCGAAGCAGATGCCTTCGAAGGGCCCCCAATAGTGGCTGCTCTATTGATGCCATGGTAGCGATTCATGATGGTATGAGTGTTGTTACGTATGGTATTGTTGTGGTGTTGCAAGCAAATGTTTTGATCGTATAATTTGAGTGTGTAGTGTAGAATATATGTGTAGAATGAATGGATATATGTTGCTGCTGGACTTTATTAAAAGCAAGCTTCATGCGCTCCCACCACCAGAAATAATATCCGTTAGATAAGGTTATGTGTGAAACCACCAATGTAATCAGTGAAATAGACCAAGAAAATCAATCTAGCATATAAAAAGCAGATATTATTTATGTGTGTGTTTGGTAGTCATTTTATAGTGAAATAGGTAGCTTTAGTTATATAGTAGATTCAGATTCAGATTCATTTATTCATCAATCAATCCTCTATCCCATCCTATCCCCATCCCATCCGCTTCTTCATACTGGCACGTCCCACTTTAAATTCAGGATTCCCGCTAAAGAATTCTCGGGGAGCCTTAGCCTTATTAAACCTCTTGTGTGAACAATCCACCACCCGGCCAGCACAATCAATCAATCATCTATCTCTTGATTTGATTTCCCTCCTGATGATGCTCTTTGGAGATTTTTGAGATCTCCTGTGTGAACATCACTTTTTTCCCGACTTTATCACGAATACCAGCAAACTCTCACTGTATATTGATACTTTGAGTAATTTGAAAAGGGAATTAGTTTGTCGGTAATAGGAGTATCGGCGTATCAATATCTTTGAAGGAAGCGGGTTGTACCAAAAACCACATCAGGAATTCCAGCAGACAATTCGGTACTGCGAAACGAATATTCCAAAACGAACGAAAACTTTCACTCCAAATTATCATTTTACAAAAGCTTGTCTATTACGACAATGACCAGATGTCACGTCTTTTCATTGAACGCTTTTGTTAACCTTCTCCCTTAATTTACATTACTTCCAAAAGTATTTACTCTTCGACGGCTCCACCACTCTGCGATCTCGACATTGTCCAATCTGGACATCTACACTCATTTTTGCGATTTGATTTGCTATCAAAGTATAATCTTTATCATGGCTACTGCGCCAATGTCGACAGACCCCTCAAGGCTGTCATTCGCAAAGGTGCGCAAATCTACTAGGTATTCCTCGGACCACATGGTGACTTGTCATCGGTGAACCTTGGATTAGCTATCATATCTAAGTGTCTGGCTAACAGAATTTGATTATAGATTGCTGCCTCGGCTGGAAAGGATAATGTAGCTCTCGCTTCTTTCGCAAAGATTGCTGCCTCATCTGCTGTACGAGATACGAAATCTGAGAATATAGCTCCAACTGTATATGAGAATAAGAACACAGACAAACCTAACGCTGCAAGCAAGGATATTAGCATGGCCGCTCTCAAAGAAACTGCCATAGCGACAAATGATCAACCCTCAAAGAAGAGGACGTTTACTAAGAAGGAATCCGATTTGGCGGATGCAGTCAAAGCGATGCATATCCGTGACAGCACGCCAAGTCTTGTTGTCAACGGCTCAGGGATTACACCTCCTATCAAACGAGATTTGGGAGAAGGATTTCCGGATGACCTATTTCAGAGAACAGAATCTGGGTCCGATTTGGGTACCAAGCCTCCAAGCTTGGATGGAAAGAGCATTACCTCAGGTACAACATTCGCTTTGGATGAGAAGGAGTCCTTACGTCCTGATGACAGCGCAAGCGTAAAAGCAGCTGAAGATGATGATACATTTTCAGGTCGCGGTTCCATTGTTGCCGGCTCTAGGATTGGGTCCGAAGCAGCTGCGCGAGCTTATCGTGCCCAGTTTTATGAGGCCCCTGATCGACGTAGTATTCAACTCATGCAGGAGCGCCAAACACAGGGCATTGTTACTCCTCAAAGTGGATCATCTGGTCAGCAAACTACGGATGATAAACCTAAGCCGCTTGTAGGTCCATCAGGATCAACCGAAGCGTTCACACTCTTCTACCGCCAGACTCCGGATGAGAAACTTCTGGAGGCACTGGAATCACCAAAAGACCGCATATTTCTGCTTCGTCTTGAGCAAGATGTTATTGAGTTTGTGAAAGATTCTAAGTAAGAGTTAGCCCCTGGGCAACGTCCGTTATTGCATTACTAACACACTTACAGGGAGCCTTTCATTGATCTGCCACCATGTAACTCGTTTTGCAGAATGCTAACTCACAAGTTGGCTGATTATTACCATATGACACATCAAGTTGATGCTGTAATTGGAGCGGTCCGTATATTCCGAACGCCATTTTGCAGGATTCCGCCATCATTAACGAGCATCTCCAACCCACCCACAACTGGAAATACTCCTCCCCCTAACCTGCCTGCAATGAAAATCATGCGCAGAGGTGGCGATGGCGATACTGGACCAAGTCCTTCCAAAGCTACTTCTGAGACAGGAAGTGAAGCCAAAGACAAAGCACAGTCCGCTAAAGAGAAGTATGGTACCCTATATTCTTATCATGAGCCTGAGGCTGACTTCAGATAAAGACTTTCCCGAGAGGAGCGAGAAGCAGTTTATCTTGCCGCACGGGAACGAATCTTTGGCAAAGATGATAAATCTGGCGAGGCCACACCAGGTAATTTTGCCAAAGATCTTGTCTCGAAACGATCCGATGGCATTGCTAATAATGGTCTAGAAAATGAAGAGGTTGGCGAAATGTCACGTTCTAGCTCTGTATCCATGAAGGACAAGGGCAAGAGGGGCAAGGCTGGAAAACAGCGCCGTGACGACTCTGAAAGCTTCGACGTTCGATCTCAGTACACGCCATACTTTCCGCAGCAACAGGCTCAGCCAGCGTGGATTCCAACTCAAAGTTACGGCACAATGGGAGTTCAACAATTCAATGGTGTCATGCCAAGTAATTATCAGAACCAAATGCCAGCTCAGTTTGTTCCACCTCCGCAGCCATTTGTTCCTACCATGATGAACAGTGGAAACATGCAACCGTATAATAATATGCCACCACCAGTAAGTTAAATCACGCTTCATTGATGATTATATGCGTTTACTAACATTCAACCAGCAATTTCCTCAGCAAAGTCAGCCACGTTATCAACCTCACAGTGCTCCAATTACAACATACGGTACCCCTGCGCAGTCCCCACAGCCTCCGCAACAATGGATCTCACAAAATCAGTTTCCAGGTGCTCCGTATCAACCACGAGTACCTGTCGCCGGAGGATCACCCAACACTATCCCTTACGCTTTTGGACAATTACCCAGCATGGTAAATCCGGCCGACCCCAAAAGCCAACACCCGATTCCTGGAAGTTTCAATCGGCATGCCTTCAATCCGAAGACACAGTCCTTTGTCCCCGGCAATCAAGGTCTTCCTGTTCCACAGCCCATGTCTCATCATGGATCTCCTCACCATGGCTCTCCACACCATGGATCTCCTCACCTCCCTTACAACAGTTTCCCTTCACCTCAACAACAATACGGGGCTGGAATGGGTTATAGCATGGCGAGACAAGGGTCTAACAGCTCTTTGCCTTCGTATCATGCATCTCCACACATGGCACATAGGTCAATGATGCATCAGAATATGCCGCAAGGTCTTCCTCAAGGTTTGCCACAAGCTATGCCTCATGGTATGCCACAGGGAATGCCACAGGGTATGGTGCCGAACGGTCAAGTTGGAAGTCACCTTCCCAACTTCGGCAACCCGGCAACGTTACCTCCAAAGCCTCCCACTGGCGTTTAGGTATCTTTTGAAAGATTGCGGATATTCTGTGATGAACAAACGGCGGCGTATGGTAGCATTGGAGGAGTTAGTGGGAAATATGGGCATTAAAACGAACTTATTTCAAGTACCAGGTTTATATTTTGCTGATAGATCCACGAATACAAATACGATATATTTGACTACACTGACCACCATGTATCGCGTTGAAGAGACAAATGATCACCATTAACAACCCCCAATTAAACATTTCACGCTTCCACCTTATTCCTCGATCATAATACAGAGAGGGTTTGCGTGAAATTTGGAGGACCTCATTTATAAGGTTACATACCTCCTCGACATTTATAGTATATCAATGATTAGAAGCTGGAGTTCAGTGCAATTCGTTTGACAAAGTGTTTGATATGTCGGTTACAAGAGAACATTGGAGTGGTTACACGTCTACCAATCATATTATGGCTTGTTTTCTTTTCACATCCGGAAAGCATTGATGATTACGACACTGTGACATGAACGATAATTTTTAAAAAATTCTATAAGAATTGGCCTAGAGCCTACCTGAACGCCATACTTTTCCATCCACATGCACAGATTTTGTCAATTATGGAAAGGCTTTATTTTTACTCATCGTCTGTCTACTCGGCGGATTCCCTTGGCTCCCTTGGCTCCCTTGGCTCTCGTGATTGTCCGCCTCCTCTGCCACCTCCTCTTCCGCCACGCTTGCCACCTCTCTGTCCACGGTCTCCCTTGTCTCCACCTTCTCCACCGCCGGATGATGCAAGGACGTCTGGACCTCCCATGGTAAGAGTTGCTGTGGCTAATCTTTGGGAAAGGTCGATTTGAGTGCGGATAGTGTTGGCAAGGTAAGAGACGACCAATACATCTTGGATGTGGTTGTTGAAGTCACGCTCAACGTCTTGTGCATCAACCTTTGGTGCCAATGACAAAGCGTTCATCAGGAATTGACCAAGCGCATTCGATGGCTCCCTCTCCTCGTCCAAGACTGAACTGACGTATTCGGATACTCTCTCCAAAAGATCAAGAGTCTGGTCAACAGCTCGCTCCAAGCCTTCGATATCAGAAACCACTGGTGCGGCACGACTCTCACTGTCCTTAGCACCAGAGATCAACTCCAAACCACTCTTCTCGGATTCGTTATATCTAATCTCATATGGTACTGGAATGAAAAGACAGCTCTCAGCCGCCCTCTCAGCGTTTACACCAACTGGTGCACTGATATATGCTTTTGCCTCAATCTCCTTTCCAGCCTCAGTACTGACAGTCAAATGAACAGCGGGATGTGGGAAAGTTCCAGTTTCGGGGCTAGCGAAGAAGTTTTGAATCAAGGCGCTGAAGCTGTTGAGTTCAAGGGAAGTCGTGTACCATCCCAAGAGAACTTCGCGAGGATTGGCCTTCAATTGTAGGGCGAGCATGTTCTTTTGATACTCGACGTCGACTTCAACCTGGTCTTCGGTCTCGGTGTGAGGAATGGCGAAACAGTTGCGCACTTCGCACTCCATGCCATCTTCAGAGCGGATTCCGAGGAGCGCACCGATTACGCGTGGGGTTTGGGTGATGCTGGTATCGCGACGGATGGCATGATCGAGGATTGAGAACACGGCCTATTTTCACACTTGTTAGTCTTGGAATGCGAGGTTTTCAGGGGGAGGAAAATATCGTACTTGGGGTTGAATTATGACATTTAAAGGTGCGGTGGTGGGCTGGACACCGATGGAGGCGGGTGCGAGTGGCCGCGCGAGGTGAAGGAAGGAATCTGTACCGACTGCCATGCTGGGCTAAAATTATTTCGGTATCGAGTTTGGAGGACGAGTTATTGTGGTAGAGTCTGAATGGGAATGTCCTCGTCGTCGTCGATTGCAAACCAGTTGCTCAAGTGGGATTTTTGTGTGGGCGCGGCGCAAGGATCTAATTGCGCTAAGATAAGCTTTCGTTAAAAGGTGTGAAGAATCTCCCCTCGATTTATGATATATCAGGGTTAAGTACTTGAAGGAATGGGATGATATATTTGCAAGTAGTTTATCTAGAATTTACTATTTCAAAGCAATAGATTTTTGTATTTCTTACTATTGTTCTCAACAATGGCATTGATCTGAAAGCCCATGATCTTTGAGCCAAAACTTTTTTTCTGAGCCCTGATGACGCTAAGATAAGGATTCGCCAGAACTTTTTTTGTACAGCCATTCAGCATTGAGCATTTCGACGTTCATTAATATTTTACAACGAAAAATGGCATTTGGACAGAGAAATACCTCAAGAGGAGGTCGCGGTGGCGGTGGAAGCAGTTTTAGAGGTCGGGGAGGTAGTAGAGGTGGTCCACGAGGGGCTAGAGGAGGGGCTAGAGGAGGAAGAGGAAAAGGTAGAGGAAGGCCTGTGTTTGACAGTGCTAGATTAGCACAACAAAAGGAAAAGTGAGTGCTCTTTAATTATAAATATTGAACAGCTGGCTTACATGCATAGTAATGAGGAAGATTCGGAATCTGAAGAATCAAGCCAGGATGAAGCAACGGAGAGTGAAGAGGAATCTAGCGACGATGAGGATGATGCGGAACCGGCACCTGCTGTAAAGTCCTATGCGGCTTTAATGCAGAGTTTTGCTACCGATGCTGCACCACAAGCCAAGCGAAGGAAGCTCACTATCGATAAAGAGGAAAAAGAGGACGTGGAGGCAGATCCAATGGACCAGGATACAAACGATGCGGATGATGTTGAAGAAGCAGAAGAGGGGCCTGAAACTGCAACAGATGGCCTGCCCGAGGATGATGACGATGAAGAAGACAACTCAGATCCTTTTGAAGCTCATTTTGCCAATCCGGATGATAACATACTATCAAGGAGATTACAACATTTAGAAAAGGGACAATGGGCCATACAAAAGACTCCACTCGCAAAGGTTGGAAAGGCTATTACGAGTATTCCTGGTGATGATGAACCAAAGCAGACGAAACCAATGAGTATCAATAGTCCGGAAGAACTCAAATTGAAACAAAAATTGGCAGGCATTATCAAGAAGCAATGTCCGACTTTCGATACATTGGAAAAGTCTATATCTCCTCTTATATTCGGATATCAGGATCTGCTGTTCTGTGAGCGCAATACATCTAATGCAGAAAGCCTGAGGAGGTTAACCTGTCTCCATGCTGTTAATCATGTGCTCAAGTAAGTTAAGCCCCTTTTTTGTCGGTAAACATAGTCTAACTATTCAGGACTCGAGATCGTGTCATCAAAAACAATTCTCGCCTTGCCCGAGAAGTCAACAGCGATGACTTGGAACTACGAGATCAAGGTTTCACAAGACCTAAAGTGCTTATGCTTTTGCCTACTCGCGAATCTTGCGTTAGGATGGTTGATATGATCACCTCAATATGCGAGCCAGATCAACAGGAGAATCGAAAACGATTCAATGATTCGTATGTCGACAAAGAGGAGAAGTATTCCACTGACAAAGCAGAAGATTTCCGAGAACTCTTTGCAGGCAACGATGATGATATGTTCCGTCTTGGTTTGAAGTTTACTAGAAAGACCATCAAGTATTTCTCACAATTTTATAACTCTGATATCATTTTTGCAAGTCCCCTTGGTCTGAGAATGGCCATTGGAAATGAAGATGCCAAGAAAGTAGATCATGATTTTCTCAGCTCAATTGAGATGGTCATAGTTGATCAGGCCGATGCTCTTCTCATGCAAAATTGGGAGCATGTTGAGTTTATCTTTGATCATCTCAATCTCCAGCCAAAGGAAGCTCATGGCTGCGATTTCAGTCGTGTGAGAAGTTGGTATTTGGACAATAATGCTAAATACTTCCGTCAAACTATTGCTTTGGCAAGTTTCAATACGCCAGAGCTTAATACCATGTTTTATAACCAGTCTAAGAATTGGGCAGGGAAGGTCAAGGTCAGCTCGACTTATTCAGGAGCCATTCAGGAATTGGCTTTGAAGGTTAAACAGACTTTCTCACGACTCGACTCCCAATCGTTCTCCTCAGACCCAGATTCACGCTTCGAATATTTCACATCAGCAATAATACCTACTTTGACTCGTAGGAGTAAAGATAGTGCTGGAACTGTGCTATTCATTCCCTCGTACCTCGATTTCGTGCGAGTGAGAAATTATTTCTCGACTTCAGCCACCACAAACACTTTGTCGTTTGGCAGTATCTCGGAATATACCACACCAAAAGAAGTTGCAAGAGCCAGGTCCCATTTTTACAGTGGTCGACACACTGTTTTACTTTATACCGAAAGAGCACATCATTTCCGAAGATACCAAATCAGGGGTGTCAAAAAGGTCATCATGTATGGTCTACCAGATAATCCGATTTTCTACAAGGAAATCGTAGGAGGCTACCTCAGCAGAAGTGTGAGAGAAGGTGATCTAGAGCCTGGAGAGGGAAGTGCACGAGTGGTGTTTTCCAAATGGGATGTCATGAAATTGGAAAGAGTAGCGGGCACAGAAAGGGTTGGGAAGATGATCAAGGAGAAAGGCGATACTTTTGATTTCTTATAATACCCTTTCAGTTAATTTTGGGGTCTTCTATCCTTCATTGTAATATAGACATGTCAAAACGCCGTTCCATGCAAATCATACTTCTATACATATACATTTGGTACTCTGTGAACGATATTGCCCACGACCATTTCGCTCGGTTGGGCTTCAAGCAAAATTCGTCCCACTTCCCGAATTCGCCCCAAGGCTTTTGTGACATTCGTCCATCTCTGCTTTGAGATGACTTGAAGTAATAAACATACCGGGTCATGACGCATAATCTCAAGTTTTTGATCTTTACAACCCTCCGTACTGAACCATTGAGACATAAACAACCCAGCCCTACCCAGACACCCATCCACAACTCCAACGCTAAATATGCCCACCCCACCTCTTCTCCCTGAGCTTCCTCCCCTTCACCTCCCCCTCAAACCCAGGCGCATCAAACGGCACATCATTCCTGTGCCGCGTGCCCGCCAACTTCAATTCTTCGACCCTCTTCACAATCTTCTTAAACGCCTCTTCACCTCCCGCACGAAACTGCGTCACCTTCTCGATATTCCTTTCCGTAATGCTATTCATCGGGATCTTCTCCTTTTGAAATCGTGCCACGGTCCGCGCAGTCATCGCCCACCGTGTGTCTTTGGGTCCGTCGACAAGCTCGAGAATGGCGGAGGGTGCGTGGTCGGGTTTGAGGGGCTCGATGCGCAAAACGCGCGTGTAGCCGCCGGGGCGGGCGGCATAGCGTTCGCGGATCTCACCGAAGAGTTTGGGGAGGAGTTCGTGGGGGGTCTGGAGGGGGAGAGGGAGGGTTAGTATATGTGCATTTTTATATGTAGAGGATTATTTAGGATTTATATCTCGACCCCTCTCCTCATGCTCCCAAAATATATCAACAAAATATCAATCGAAGAATAAAAACTCACAAAAAATATACTCAATGCCCTCCGCTTGCTAGCATCTGTATTTTTCTTCCCCAGCGTAATCAATTTCTCTGCGAGCCGCTGCGCTTCTTTCGCTTTGGGCCATGTAGTTGATATGGATTCGTGGGTGAAGAGGGAGGTGACGAGGTTTCGAAGCAGCGCTTGTCGATGCGAGGAGGTGCGTCCAAGATGACGGTATTTCATGCGTCCGCCGGCCATTTTGTAGGTTTATGTTTACTACAAATGTACTAAGAGGGGTTGTGAAGTGAGGTCGTTGATTTGAGCGACGAGGCGGAAAAGTTTTGGCGAGGCCGAAAGATTGGTGTTCGGGCCGTATTGGATTGGACGGATGTCAAAATTCTTGGTGGAGGAGGGTTTCTTTATCTATCAACGACATACTGTAACTAACGTACCCTGGGTAACTCGATCACGCAACGCTCTAAAGAGCTTTAGATTTGCCAATTGATTTTTCGTATTCCCACGCTGTTTGGGAAATAAGTGTACTTTTATAATATCCAAAAGCGCATTCGGCGCGCCCAGAATACACTTGCAAATATGGGTTTTACCACCGGCTTTGTATGTTTTTCCCTCACTGAGCTCCCAATCCTAACTCTCAACTCTCTGTGAATATATATATATATATATAAGAATGAAGAACTAACATTGAACCTCCCCCAAGACCGGCGGCGTAACCCTCACTCTCTCCCTAGCCTACCTAACAGTCCTCGCCCACCAACGCAACCGATCCACGCAATCCCTCCACCTACACCACCAATCGCACGTCCTGAGTTCGCTCCTCGAAAAACAACCCATCCCACCTCCCAAATCCCGCTCGGAACTCGCGCGCGAAGAACGAAGCACGATTCTGGAAGCGGCAAAGGATAGATGGAATGCCGAGGTGGAAAATGGAGTGCGCTGGGTTCAGCGAACGGACTGGGAAGAAGTGAGGTGGGGCATTAAAGGGGTGGTTTCCAGAGCGCTAGGATTGGGTTTGGAGAAGGGGAGAGAGGGTATTGAGCGTGGGGAACAGGTTGCTGGGGAGACGTTGAGGGATTTTAGAGAGGAGGCGAGGGAGGAGGGGAAGAGGGTTGCTACGGGGGCCGTGGCGGGTGCGGAGAGGACTGTTGCGGGGACGAAAAATGCGGTGGATGTTTCGCAGCAGAAATTAAAGGATGCTGAGGCTAGGATCCCTTCGTATCCCGACATTGAACGGAATGCAGGAGGAACCGTAGATGCAGCACGTGGATCCATACGTTATGCCGTATCTCGAGGAATCTCGGCCGGCAAAGATATCGCACAGAAAGCCGGAGCCGCAGTCGGAATTGCAGAGCAGAAAATTGAAGAAAAGATAGCGCTCGTTTCGGGTAAATCTGCAGATTCGGATTTGGAGAGAGCACTTAGGGAAAGATTTGAGGGACGATCGAGTCAGTTGGATAAGAGTGTGGAGCAGGCATTGGAGGAGAGATATACACCTATTAATCAGAATGATAATGGGACTCTGAGGGGTATATGAGGTGATGATGAGAAGAGAGAAGAGGGTAGGAGGTGTATTATCATAAGTGTAAATAGATGAAGTTCTCTGCTATGCTTGCTGAGTGTGCTATAGAAAAGTTGATTGCTTTTGCCTTTGGCTTTGGCCTTGGAGGATGGATATATTGGGGACCATGTAATACAATGCAAGTACTATTTCCTCAGTCGCCCCGGTGGGCTGGCCTGATGTTGTGCACGATATGCTCTATGATAGCCCAAGCAAAGATTCGCTCACACATCAATGAGAAACTAGGGATAAAATAAGAGATTTATCTGAAGAATACTATCTACAAAAGTTGGCAAAATTCATGTCCAACGATGAAACTATGGTATACCATAGCTATCAAAAGCTTAGGTATTGTGGTGGAACAATCTTACCATCATCATCATCATCGTATCTTGGCATATCATACCATATCACAATCCCAAACACTCGCACTGGCCTATGCCGCACGACACATTAATCCCCTTTATCTCCCATTGCCCTTTATCCTTTCCTGCATTACAATCCAGCCATCGATATCTCCTCAAGGTGTCTCGAAATACTGCTCGACAGCCTTTGGGCTTGAACTCTCACCGACCTCAACCATCAATCGCTTATTACCCTTTCGAACACTCTTAATCGCACCTGAAGTATGGAATGAACCAGCTCGTTGACGATGACGACCTCTGCCTGGCAGCCCATCATCAAAATCCTTTTCATTACTCAAGGATGAACCTCCATCTCCGTTGTTGGATTTCGTCTCATCGTTGGATGAAATGCGGCGAGAGGTTGCACGAGTAACTGAACCGGAGCAACGCCTTTCACGGGTGGGTGGTTGAAGAAAGATTTGGAGGCGACCCTCAACGTAGTCCTCGTCATCCTCGTCATCGTTATCCCCGTAGTATGATGGTGGATCACCGTCGCTCAAATCTCCGGACCTGTCTGATGTCAGTATAATATTCTTGTTCACAAAATGGAGAAACTTTACTTCTCTTCGGCATTCTCTTCAACAGCAACTTCTCTCTCCTCGGACGAAGCTTTTTCGGATGCACTTTCGGAAGGCAGCTCCAAATTGATCATAGGAGAAGATACCTCAGCCTTTAGAGCTTCTCTAACATTCCAATCTCTCTTCCTAACCACCTTATCAAACTTCCTCAATCCATCTAGACAACCACTAAATTCCTCGCCCAAAGCACGTCTATTAATATTGACCAAATTCTTCCATTTCGGGCCTGTCATACACACACATTCATTGGCCTCCAGAGCATCCGCAATTGCGGCTTTCATCGCAGTGAGGTATTTACCAGTTCCGTAAAAGAGGATGCCGGCTGAGTTCTTGGCCTTGAAAAGACGAGCGTATGGGTTTGAATTGTGACGCTGGGCTCGCTTCCTGATGTTGCTTGAAGCGAAATAACGATCCTTCCAATCAGCCAAGGTGAGCAGGTGAGCGTGGAGACTCTTGAATGTGACAAAGATCTCAACTTGGTAGCGACGAAAGTATTCATCAAGATCATGTTGGGTGAAATCATCTGCAACTGTTAGCAAGACGTTGTTGTAAGGGGAGGAGAACACGTACAACTCAAATCAGAATACAATACAATAACAATCGACTCGACCGCAGCCCAAATGGTAACCAACAACTTCTCAACATCACTTACAACATTAATCAACTCATTGGCGCTGGCATCTAGCTTGGCTGCGTGACGAATGGTGGGATCGATAGAACGAGTCCACTTACTAGGGCCCATCTTCAAGCTGATCTGTGGACGCTCGTTTTCATCCTTCCAAATCTGGTCGAAGACTTCCTTTGGAACTATATTGAAGAGTGCCATTTCCAAAGCAAAGTATTCTCCTTCTTTAGCCAACGCAAGAGCTTTACGGTCACTAATGACATTTGACGTAATAGTAACAGAAGAAGATGGAAAAGCCGGACCCGTCAGTCTGTCAAGTTGTGCTTGTTCTGCTTTTCTGGCCCTTAAAAGTCTATCCGTTTCTTCCTTGAAGGGATCCAAATCGAACTCGCCAGGTAGGTCGGAGAAATCAGAGCTGGTTTGTTCGTCAATATCCATGGCGCTACCTACATCGGATGCTGCAGCCTCGAATGATGCGTTTAGCTCCACAGATTCATCAATTTCCATGGCGTCGGCGTCGGCAGATGCGTCAACCTCGAGGGATGCGTTGGCCTCAATAGATGCGACCGCGTCAATAACTGTGCCAGTCTCAGCAGATGAGCTTGGCGGGGTACGACTTCTCTCGTCACGCATGGCTTTATCTTGGATAGTTCCATCGGCTGGTTGACTGTAATCAAGGGGCGCAGCTATCTCAACTTGGTCTCGAGCGTCGACAAGTTCGATAGATCCAACGGGGTTGTCAACTTCCTCTGATAAAGCGCGCATGGTTTGTGCAGAAACTGTTTCGTCCAATATGAAATCGAAACGTTCTGGAGTAGGCGCGCGTTCATCGGGGTTTTGAGAAAGATGTTTTGGTGTGGCAGATCTTTCTCTTTCGGTGAGAGTGGCCTCAGAAGCGGTTTGCCTATCACGGTATAAATCATTATACTCTGGTAAATCCTCGAGCTCGGGCATGCGTGTTGGGGAGTATATTGGATCAATTGGACGTTGCGGACTGCCCTCGGGCGTGGGTGTTGGGGTATATTTAAAATCAAGTGTATCCTGCATCTCTTGGTCGGCTGAAGGTCTTGCATCGGGACTGTAGGCTTTGCAAACTGGGGAACCTGTGGAGTTTACCATGCTTGGAGCGGGTGCCGAATCAAAGCTATTATGCATCTCTTCGTCGGCTGGAGATCTTGCAGCTCTGAAGATTTGAGAAGCCATGGAGTTTACCATAGCTAGAGCGTGTTCTATAATGTTACTTTGCATCTCCCCGTCGACTGGAAATCTCGCTTCGGGATTGTAAGCTCTTCCAGTTGAAGAATCAGCAATATTGACCGGGATCGAAGCTGCGTCATTTGCCGAAATCGGGGAAGAATCGACCATATTGAGACCATTGTCGGACGGGGACGAGGATGAACGACCATCGTAGGGCTCGTAGTAATCGCTCTCTTGGGGGCTGCCAACAGGAGAGGGGGTCAAGTTGTATGGTATAGCACCGGGGGGCAGGAATATTCCATCTTCTCCGGCGCCAGTGACGAAAGCTGGTTTTGGTGAGAACATGACTTCATCTTGTTCTTTCTCTGGAGGGGGAGGAATCTCCTCTGTTTGAAACGGTCTTATTGGTGTCAAAGTTGAAAGACGAGCACCCATCATCAGTGGTGGCGACGACCCCAACTTTGGTCCAATAGCTGTCTTCGATTTTTTGGTGGACAGAGAGCCGGTTTGTATAGATGGTAGATATACTTCCTTATATGCCTTTATGGCAGCATTGACAGGTGGGGCGCCAGACTGGAGGGCTGGAACATCATCTTCTTGATAATTCCCGGGCGACGAATAGTCGTTTGGCTCGTATGTTTGACGACGAGACTTTGGTGGCAATTGAGGAACCGACTTCCTAGTCAAAATCTGACGCTTTTGTGATAATCGAGGATCTGGCTTTGCAGTTGAAGTCGGCTTGGGCGTTGATATCGGAGCTTGGTTGATAGGAGTTATTTTCTTGGCTTGGTTTGCCTGAGAATTCTGCGATTTCTTTGGTGTTCTTTCTTTAGGGGCTTCTTTTGCTGGTGCGATGCTAATTGGTTTGTTAATCAGATGTTGACCTTTGTTGAGACAATTTTGGAGACGATGTTGAGCTTCTTTGGTATGAGGCTTAACTTTTTTGACAAGATTTTGAGTTTTTTTGGAAGGAAGTTGATTTTCAATGTACCAGTCTGCATACCTGGAAATTCGGGGTAGTTTTACTTCATCAGTTTTCTTGTCGGGTACAAGACTAGATGATTTGTTTCCAGCTGCTTTAATATTAGAACTTGGCTTGGACTTCTTGAATTTTCTCTCCTCACTTGATGTTGTCCCTGGTGCATACATATATGGTCCATTTCCAACACGTTCAGCGACAGGAAAACTATAATCATCATCTTCACTGAACTCTACATGAGCAGGTGGTGTGACAAGTGTCTCGATAAAATCAAGAAAACTTCCACCTCTTGGTAGTGGATTTGATCGCGCTGTTACTGTTGATGATCCTGGTGAAGAACTCCCACTTATTGTGTTTTGAGGACCATGTTGAGAGTGTCTTTCATCCATGGTTAGTGTTGATAAATCAAGTTGAAGAAAAATTATTGAGAGTTCAAGATTTCCGGATGTGATAATATTTTTGAAGTCGGTTGAAAGTTCATCGGAAAGTGTTTGGTTTTGTGAGGCTGGGGATAGTGCGTTATTTAGTCGATTCTCGGTGGGGATACTAGTAGTGAATTTCGGTTGCCTCTCAATCTTATTATGCCAGTCAAGTTTCAACCTTGACCCAAATACCATTAACAACTTTTCCAATATTTGCACGTCGTCGGTCCCTATGGACTGTTCTGAATACTTGGTAGAGATCTACCATTGTCCGGATAATTTTTGAGTTTTCATACAGTTGTTTTCATCTACAAAAGAAAGTGTGTCGGAGTTGATCAAAAGCTAAGGAAGCTGATGTGACTTCTTCCCTTTCTGTGTCGGGTTTTGTTTATTTAGATTTCTATACTGTCGAAGGGATATCATGGCCTCTTATGATCCAATGAGACCGTACTGATTTCAGTACTTGGCCAACTATCTTCTATACAGTTCTTCTATTTAATTTCACTGAAATGAATGAATCTTGATTTTTAATCCCTTTCGACATTCTCAGCTCAAATGGTGGGATAGGTGAGCAAGATCATCTTATGAACTCACTACAGATGTAAGATGGGAGTATATATAAGTTATTGTCCAGACTTTTTGTCCTGTACTTCAGCTATCATCTTTTGACCTTCAATCTAAATGTAAGATGGGAGTTTATCCAAGTTATAATCCAAACCTCTTTTCAGTGTTTCCTGAATATCTTTTGATCTTCAATTCAAATTCAAAATGGGAGTATATACAAGTTATTCTTATCAATAGCAAAATTATAATCTAGACTTATTATTCAGTGCTTTATGGATATCATTATCTCTTGATCTTCAATCCAAATCTAAGATGGGAGTATATCCAAGTTAGTTCTATCTATGGCAAGGTTAATAGTCCAGACTGTAGTTGAACAACAAAGGATTCTTGAGTTTCACATTTATCTGAAATATTGGCTTCAGTTAGAATATTGAATGAACTCAGACTATGCAAGTCAAAGACTTTGAGTCTTTTTCTATTGAATTTACACTGCAGTGGAAACTGTAGAACTCCTTGATTAATGGGAAGATTATTGCCATCTCATGCATAACTACCTCAACTTATTCCAAGATGCTTCAGAAATACCAGTCCTCTTTCTTAGGTTCTAACTGGAAGATATAAATAACTACTGTCAACATATGTTGCAACCCAGAAGTTTTCAATATAACAAAGAAGGTGGTTCAAACTTAACACACACAAAGCATTATCAAACTTCTTAATTTAGAATCCTTATCAAACAAAGAGTCATTTTTACCTTCAAGATAGTCAGAACATTTTTCTTGCAAACTCATCATATGGCGTTTTTTTTGTGAAAATCCTCAACGAAGAAAATAAATTTGAAGACATGGCATATTACGAATTCCCAAGGAACGCATTCTCTGAAGGCGATGATGAGGACGATGATAGCTCAGTTCTTGTCGCCGAAGCCTATAGACCATGCAAAACTCTCTATGTAACGACGACTACTGGTACAATTACGCTCCCGCGTGTCAGTCCAATACATCGCATAGAAAGCACCAAAGCAACACTCATAAATACCCTAATGGCCAGAAAAGCTATCCCTCATCCCCGGTATGAGTGTGCAATATCTTATGCAGGTAGAGAGCTAGAAGATACGGAAAAGCTGGAAAGTTGTCGCATTGGGGACGAAGCCACGGTGAATGCTCTTCTGTGGCAGAAAGATTGCAACACCCTCGATAGGACGCGCCATATGATTGAAGCTGCAGGTTCTAGTGATGGACTTGATGATGGGCAGAAAGCTAAGAGTTCGAAACGTGTTAGAAGTGTACTTGATTTATCAGAATCAGAGGAAGACGATAGAAAGCCAGATACGGTTCTTAAGCGTGCTCCGGCGTCGAAAAAGCACAAGTCTGTTAGATTTGCGGATGAGGGGGATGATGTTATATATCCTCCACCGCCATCTTTGTCAAAGCCATCAACTTCACGAACTTCAAGTCCCAAAGAGTATGTGATGTCAGGAGGATTGAAGCGAGGAAATACACCTGATGCAGATGTTCTAGATTTCCATGATTCTCTGGTGCGAAATGTTCCAGCTAGAGATCACCTTCCTCGAAGACAATCCATAGAAGAACTCTCACGAAATTCGATGTTGAAATCACCGTCACCTTTCTGTATTCATGCGAAATCAGATAGACTGAAGAACGATTCTCTCGAATATCCCTCTGTGCGACGGGATAACAGCAGGAGGGAGCTTTACATAAATACTGATGGCTCTATAAATCCAGACTATCCTCCTCCCAGAATAGAACATAGACCCCTCAGAATAGAGGACGGCATCTCTCCAACTGCAGTACGTTCAGCTCCACAAAATGCAAGTTTGAAACCGCTGACGTCCAATCTCTACCCTGCAGTACGAAACACAATCTATCTTCGACCTCCGGGCACTAGGCCAGCATCTAGACCCTTACCCCGGTCGTCGAAACTTGAGTTGCTAGATCCTTCCCATGCTAGCACATCACCGTCTTTAACTCACACGGCTTTTCCTCGTTCTCAGCAGACACCCTCAGCCGGTTCATCCAAAGATTCTCCATTATCCTATCCTCCCCAAACTACAAGCTCGCCATTGACAGCTGATCTCTTGTACAAGAGATTTCATTCTTTACAAGCACCAACCACAACTCCTAAATCAATACTTAAACCTTCATGTACCCCTTCACCACAACTACCTCAACCATCATCCACTCTCCAACCACCGATTTCATCATTTTCTAAACCGTCACGGCAGTCATCCAAGCCACCATCCGCCCTCCAAAAATTAAATTCTTACTTCACCAAAGCACCATCACCTCCTCTACCTCCTCCACCACAACCAAAATATCCTCTTTCTCGACAAACACCTCTCCGCACCCCATCTTATTTCCCGCAACCCACAATACGAAATTCAACGACGTCCGATTACTTTCAAGCAGCACCTTTAAAAATAACACCCTCACATTCAAAACTATACCCACCACACCCTCCTCTCCCATCCCCATCCCCATCTCCATCTCCATCCCCACCGCCTCCACCTCGACCTCATTCCAGCATCAAGCCACCATCTCCTCCATTTCAATTTTCTCATCGCCCACCACCGCCACCGTCTAATCGTAGCGATAACTCATCATCACCATCACCATCGCCAAACACCATTCCAGATGATTTGCAGGATAATCCTCCTCCAAACTCAAACTCAAGAACAATACCTCAATCGAAAGTACCGCCATCACCACCTTTTTCACCTCTTCATTTTCCTCGCTTGCACTCGACTTCTCTTTCGCCTCTCTTTCATCCTCGGCTTCGCTCGCTTTCTCCTTCGTCTCCCTCTTCTGCTTCACTTTCTTTGCCAAAACGAAATTTCAAACTTCCTCACCTCCCACTCTTCTACAATTACTTCCCTTCTCCACTGAGCTCCAATCCGCGCTCTCCTTCTCCTCCTCTTTCCCCTCCCTCTCCTCCTCCTCCCCCAATCCCCCAATATACTACACACCCCAGCACCCTCTCCCCCACCCCCAAACCTTCAAAAACGCACAGCTCGTTCCTCCCCTCGCACAAGCCATTCTCCCAACAGAATACCTTGCTTTTCGCACCGTGCGCCAGCTTATAAAAATTCAAGGATGGGAGATGGGGGCTGGGGAGTGGTGGGCTGTGAGGAGGGTTTTGGAGAGGGAGATGAGTGGTGACTCGGAGGGGAGTAAGAAGGGGGCTAGGGGGAATTTGGAAGTTTTAGGGAGGGGGTTAATGGGGTTGGAGGGGTTGGGGTTGGATGGGAGGGAGGGGGAGTGAAGGCTAGGAGGGAGGGAGGGAAAGTGGGGGGGGGGGGAAGGGGGGAAAAGGGTTAGCGATATGTATATCGTAACGGAAATGGAAATGGAAATGTTATGTAGGTTTATTGGGGATTCAACATAAACAATATTACATAACACAAGAAATAATTTCTTTTAGAAAGCAGCAAAATCCACTAGAAGACAATACAAACAGTATAACACGACACAACAAAGTACAATACATAGATATACTAGGTATATAAAGATATAGACCCAAACAAATAGATATAATTTATTTCAAACATACTCATTAATATATACTTATGCTCATACTCGTACATTATACACACTTATATATTATACCAACCCCTCTTTCTCCAAATATATCCACCTAACATTACTATTACTATTACTCTCTACTCCCACATCCTTACTCCCCATCCCCACTAGCAGCGACCACCTAAAATAGAAGTAGAAATCAAAGCCAGAAGTCAACGCCACCATACGAAAACCTACTTACTCGAGCACTCGAGTATACTTATAAGTTTTAAAGAGGAGTGCCTATAATCACAGACAGTAATCATATATCAAAATGTAAAGTATTTATAGTATATAATCTCCTATATAAAGAATATGAAAAAGATTATCGGATTCATATTATTAAATTCATTCATTAAGATTAAATTAAAGTTTAAAAATGGAAAAATGAGAAAAAGATTGATCCAGAAAAGAAATATAAGAAATTGAAACAAAATCTAGTTTAATAATATACAATATATAATTAAATCAAAATATATATTACTCCAATTTGAGTTTTCTCTTAGTAATTAGCAGAGACATTTCCAAGAATACCTATCTAGGTATAATGAATGATATATTTGTGAATAATTAGATCATTAGATCAACATTTAGCCATGACTGCATTGCGAGTACTATTCAAATGAATAATAAACACATGAACCCAGCCTCCCAATAGAATCCCCCCCTCTTATTCACATAACATCATTCACATTCATGAGAAATTCTCAGTCATATTCCCAATATAACTGCGCCCATTACCTCCAAATGCCTCTCTTCTCCTTTAGCTTTAACTGAACATCTTCCCACTCTTCTTCTACGAAATACGTGTAGAGACTTCATACAGTATTGTACAGCCTTCTCTCTGTGTATCGTTCTTGGTGGGAATATCTACTGGCATCGACAACTACTTCTCTAGTATCCAATACCCATTTGGCACTCAGAGCAAGCTCTTTTACCTGTGCCAAAAATCCGCTAAATATCAGATACAAGTCGTCTTGCTGGAGCGAATTAGGAGTTGATATCTCATGCTGAAGAAACTCAAAGCCTAAATATGAGCAAGATGGCCGCACTACAAGAACTCCCGCCTCAAGCCTCCCTACGAGAAAATCCACAAGGCAAAGAACAAGTAAATAAAGCAAAGACTGCCGACTCAGAAAACAGAAAAGGCAAGAGAGAAGGAGAAACCGAAGCAGAAAGAGAGACCCGACATCGAGCCCGACATGAAAGACATCGTAAAAGAAGAGTAGATCGTGTTGTATATGTTGGAGGAGTAAAAACAAGTGGGAGGAGGAATGTAGAAGGTAGGGAGGAGAAGCCGGGAATGATTGGTAAGAGTCGAATGAGTATTGGGCGGGGAATTATGGCGCTTGGAAAGGCGCTTGTGGGGGATGGATCTGGAGATGGGAGGGATGGTGAGAATGGTGAGAAGGTGAAGAAGAGAGAGAAAGGTGATATGGGTGATGATGAAGAACAACATAGACGGAGACGACGGAGGAGACGACATGGTACTGTGGGGGAAATTGGTGTGGAGCGCAAAGGCAGACATGCTAAGGATCGGAAAGTTCGATTCAATCTTAAAACATTCACTCCACCACTAAGAATCACCAACGATGAGCAAGCCAAGGAATCCAAAGAAGAAGAAGAAGCCCAGAAACCCAAACCACATCCCCAAACGCCTCGTCTACGAACACTCAAAGAAACTCCCCAGCAACCCGAGTACGACCAAGATAGCCTCCAAGAAAACCTACCAAAAGACCACGAAGCCCAACGTAAAGAGTGTGTTCCTCTTCTCGCCCCTGAACCCGCAAAATCCCCACAATCTCCGTCTTCAGCAGCAAAAGAAGCAGACGAACAGCGACAAGCGAAGGAAGCCGAGGAACGAAGAATGATCGAAGGCAAAAAGCAGCAAATAGCCAACCGCGCTCGAGAAGAACGCGAAAAAGCCGACCGGGACCGAAAAGAACAAGCAGCCATACAACTCCGCGCCGCCGAAGCCGAGAAAGCGAGACAGAAACAAGAGGAGTGGGAGCGTGCTATGAAAGAGAGGCAGGCACTAGAGAAAGAAAAAGAGAATCGTCGTAGAAACGAATCGATGCGTCGAGCCGCGGAAGAACGTGTTGCAAGGGAGAAAAAGGAGCAAGAAAATGCACGGCGATTGCAGAGAGAACGAGAGGATAATGAACGTCAGGAACGAATTGCAGGAGAAAAACAGGAGCAAGAAAGAAGACGTCAAGAAGCCGAGCGTCTCAAACAGCAAGAACTTGAAGCTTGGCGTCAAGCAGACGCTACTCAGCGTGCCCAAAGACGAAGAGAGGAACAGGAGCGCTTAGCACGGGAGAAGCAGCGCCAGGAAGAAGCCCGTCGCAAAGCAGAAGCAGCTCGTCTTGCAAGAGCTAAACAAGAAGAAGAAAATGCACGTCGTATCGCTGCAGCCGAGCGTCTCTTACTCGAAAGAGAAAGACAGCAGCAACAAGAAGCCCAGCGCCACCTGGAGACTCAACGAAAAGCTCTCGAATTAGAGATGCAGGAACATGCGCGTCGCAAAGCGGAAGCAGCTCGTCTGGAGAGAGCCAAGCAAGAAGAAGAAAACGCACGTCGTATTGCTGCAGCCGAGCGTCTCCTAATTGAAAAACAACAACAACAACAACAAAAAGAAGCCCAGCGTCACCTCGAAGCTCAACAAGTAGCTCAACGAAAAGCTCTCGAATTAGAGAAGCAAGAAGAAACCCGCCGTAAAGCCGAAGCCGAGCGTCTCCTAATTGAAAAGCAACGACAGCAGCAAAAACAACAACAACAAAAAGAAGCCCAGCGTCACCTCGAAGCCCAACAAAAAGCTTTCGATTTAGAGATACAAGAACGTGTACATCGTATTGCTGCAGCCGAAGCCGAAGCTGAGCGACTCATACTCGAAAGACAACGGCAGGCCGACGCAGAAGCCGAAGCCGAAGAACTTGCACGTCGCAACCAAAAAGAGGCGCGCATAGCCGCCGCGAAAAACGAACCAGGGCGGCGCTTTTACAAAGACCACGAGCCAGCTCGTATCATATTACGCGCCAATGTACCTATACCTGGAGAAAACACACCTGCTGCGCGGAAAGAAGCTGCTTTATTACTTTTGCAGAAAGGTAAGGGAAAAGAGAAGCAAAATCAAGAAACACATATCCACAAAAAAGCCGCACCTATTCAACCTATTCTGCCTCCTATACCACTACAACAACAGAAGCGCGCTGCAGCCCTCGAGAAACAGGGGTGGCATGGCGATGTTTTTGTTGGGAAATTGACTGCTGAAAATCTTGAGCGCAATCTTAATGCCGGAAATGGGAATGGGAATGGGAATGCAAACGAAGCGCAACCAAAACGCTGCATAGGAAATATGGAGCGCACGATACTCGAAGGAGTTGTACTGATGAACGCAGAGGAGATACGAGCGAGAGGGAGAGAGAGTGAGAGAGAGAATGAGATTGAATGTGGAGGGAAGAGGGAGAAGCTGGAGAGGTCGGAAAAGAGGTGTATAGGGAATATGGAGAGGACTATTTTGGAGGGGTTTGTGCCGATGAGTGAGGAGGAGATTAGGCTGAATAGGCTGAGGAAGAGGTTTGGAGGATAATATTGATATTGGTGATATGTTGTTTAGGGAAAGGAAAGGAAGGGAAGGGAGGGAGAGAGGGAAGGAATGTATTGGTTTTGCTTGCCTGAATGTTTCCACGAGATGAGATGAGATGATATGCTAGATATTAGTCTACTCTACCTTGATACCTGTGCATCTTGGTACTCGAGTAATTCGACTTGGTTGAATGGCAATGGTATCTTAACTTCCTTCCTCCATTGCTATGATATATGCATACGCTCGAGATACCCTACCTGCCAAAGACGCCTAATCCGCCACTCAAATGCCAACTTAACACCTAACTTCAATACCCCCTCTACTCACCGTCAAATACTTGACACCCTTATAAGGTTTAATACCCTCTCCTAACCCTCTACTCTTCCTCGTATCAATTGTTAGACTTTCCACTTTGATACCACTTGCCAGCCACCCCTTAACCGAAAAGCTAACTGCTGCTGAACTAGGCATTAGGATTTTATTATGTGCGACTCTTCTTGCGTCTTTGCTTTCATTGTCTGAAGAAGTTTCGAGTTTCGATTTTGCCGGAGTGCTTTGATATGTTTCCGTATCATAGTCGAACTCTCCGTTCAGTCTGAAATTATTCCCATCAAATTCTTCTTCATTGGATAATGGTCCGACGACTGTACATCGTAAAGTGGCTCCGCCTGCTACCGCATCTCTAGCTGGTATATGCCATTCCAGATTCTTTCCACCTGGGTTATATGTTGTGTCGCCTCTACTTGCTTTGATTTCTGATAGATTCCGTACATCGGCTGGTAGTGGTATAGTGACTACTAAGTCTTCAATAATGGGAAATGTGCTGTGACCACTACTGCTTCCAAGATTGCCACTTAGACCACCACTGAATTGAGAAGCAGCCCGACTCAGATGTCCTGCAGCTTGGCTATTGCTTCTGGAATTAGAACCTGAGGAGATGGAGGAGTTACCCTGACCAGAAACTTTGACAATGAATAGTCGAACCTCGAAATCGGACCCAGTAGCCCCAAGACTAGTTTTGACTTCGATGTTGACAGGTAATTTTAGATGAGATGCATTTGTCGTACCGGGCTTCCCACCCGTGGAAGGAAGTAAATCAACTTCATATCCAGCTAGAACAAACCGTCCATCTGGTGGTACAAAACTTAGCTCCCCAGGCTTTTCTCTCCATCTAGCTAACCTGACACACGGATGAAAGACTGGTAATTCCATGACGCTGCTCACGTTTTGCCTACCAGATGGCGTGGATAGATTTAGGAGTAGGTCTGGTACTCCGGATATCTTTGATGTAAATGCTATAGTTCCATTCGCAAACGCAGCCAATGGACGACCAGACGGCGCAAGAGTAACAGTAAGTGTTTCGACCAGATCCACATATAATTCATTTGAAGTATGTCGTACATTTGCTCTTCTCCAAGGGAGTGCTGGTGTATTCGCTGCAAGTGCTCCTGTGGAGGATAATCCAGACATGCCGGAACTCGACGGAGTTGCAAAGCCAGGTTTCCTGCAAGACATCTTAGCAATGTCCCAAATTCCCAACTGTTTCATTCAATGGAAACATATACTAACCCAGGAATATTGATCCCCCCTAAAAGCTTGCCAATCCAACCCTCCACCTCCACCATATCCCTCAACGCATTAGGCTCGGTAGAGCTCACCATCCCCGCGTCACACATCTCATTCAACAACTGAGCCACCACATCATAGCTATTCTCTATCTTTTGCGCCAATAAAGGCGCACCCACAAATTCCTCTAATATATCGATGACTCGGTGTAAGAATTCGAGAGCTAGGAGGGGTTCAATTTCCGTAGAGGAAGTGAGACAGAAGAGTAGGTTTGAGTGTATGAGACTGAAGAGAAGAGTGGGCGGACTTGTATTTGGGAGATATATTAAACTTGGTCTTGGGACAGGATGTGCGAGGTATAGAGGGAGGAGTTGCGTGGACGAGAGCGGCCGAGAGGTATAGGTGTTTTGGAGGAGAGGTCGACTGTATGGGTTAACATGGGGAGCTTGCGAACCAGCGAACCAGCGAGCGAGGGAGCCAGAAAGCCAACCAGTTTATAAGCAACGAGAAAATAAGCCTACTTACTTATGTTCATCATAGATATACAATGCCTCAATAGCACCATTCATGATTTTTTATTAATTATTATCAAGACAATTTGGTTTAAGAATGATCTGGATGCTTGCTCCATCCGATGCTCGCGGGGTGGGGCGGAATAATGCGGCCGCTTATTTACTCAGTACACTCAAGTAAGCAAGCTTGAAATAATGATAACGCGAAACAACTACCAAAGCTCCCAGACCTAAACAAACATGGCTCCAAATTCCATCCAAACCCTCGATCGACCAGAGCGGCTCACAGATGTCTTGAAGAAAGATGAGACACAATGGCAGGATGATTGTTTACCGTGTCGATTAACTGGTATATTTCCTCCTCCACTTCTCTCTCAAATAACCTCTACCACGCCCAGCTCCCACTCTTGAATCCTTCAAATCCTCCGTTTCTTCCCCCCTCTACTTCTCCTATCTATTCCCAATTCTCCTTTCCTCCACAACCCTATATACCATTCAATCAAATTGCTAATAAATCCCCTCCCACAGGATCCGCCGCGTTCATCGGCCTAGGAATCTACAGTTACTTCTCCGGCCAATCGCAACTAAAAGCCCAAGAAGCCAAGATCCTCAAAAGCAAATCAATGTTCGGTATGAAAAGTCGACAGACTAGTATTACTGGCATTGCATTGACACTTGTTGGAATGGGACTTTGGAGACTGCGGAATTAAGCTGTTGTCTCTGGCTACGGGCATTTGGACATTCCACTCATTCAAAATAAGATGACACTGGAAAAAAGATGAAAGATGAAAAATGCAAATTCTTTTGGTCTATAAATGGCACTATGGTATCTCATACAAATATCTCACGCTCGCTCAAGCAAACTCGGCCACGGCTTGTCCCTCTCCTGCGTCCTTCGTCTCCCAATGGCTTTTCTCCTTTTGCAATTGCATTTTCACAAATATCATTGTGAGGCAGACCCAGACGAAGCCCCAGAGATATGGCAATCCCCAACCGACTCCAAATCCGATATTTTCGGGTAATGTCATTATAATGACTGTCGATATAATCGCAATACATATGAGACCGATGCCCCAAAACCACGTCAAGACCAACATCATCCGTCGAAATATCGGGCTGACTTCGTATCTCTTCATCACATTGCTTCGATATACAACTCCTCCTTGACCTTCTACTCCACCGGCATCTTCGATGATGGCCAATAATGCGGGACGCCAAAGTTTCCCTTTCTCGGTCGATGACATGTTGAACGGCAATTGCTTTTTCCGCATGGTTTGAATCGCAGATGCTGTAAACATGAATCCGAACCAATAGCATATCGTCGGAGAAGGCATGGCGCATAGGCGGACCCATGGATTATGTGGAATGGTTCCTATTATTAGCTCAATCTCTACGAAAGTGATGGCAATCATAAAGTTAATGTGCAAGAATTCAAGCTGGAATATCTATCAGTTACAAATTCATCTCATTGAATGTATTGTATAGCTTACCATTCCCCACTTGGTCCATCCTACTGGCCTCCATCTCGGCGCTGTCTTTGCGCGAAAGAGTTTTAGCGATCGGAAACCGTAATGTGAGAAACTGATCATTCCATATACTGCTGTTATGATAGCAAAGACTGAGAGGGTAAGATTAGAACCGGTGGAACATTGGTTGGAATGATGGTACAAAGAAGCTCTTACTATGTTGCAACTTCATTGTTGTGCCAAAATTCAGAGCATAGTAATATGTAATTGGAAGACAAGCTAGGTCAAGTGTTATGAGTATGAGACCGATCCATAATTTCATTTTCCTCCTTCGATGTGGTGTATGTAAAGGAGGTAGTGGTTCTCTTATCCCAAAGGTTTGTGAGGGTGTTGAATTTTCACTCGGTGTTTGAAGATTGTTCGTTGATGAGTTTGGCGGTTGAAGTGCCGTGTTTGTTGTCTTCGATACATGTTCTGTATCTCGTCTTTCTATATTTTGTAATTGTGTAGTTGATCCTCCATCATGCTGTCCGTTGTAATGGTTATAATCTTCAGCTCCCTTCACCTCGTCCTCTGTAAATGCGTTGAACTCTGGCATGTTGACAAGAATACCGAGATAGGTTATGTGTTTGCCATATGTTTTGTCTAGTATCTCGGATGAAATAAATAAAGAGAATAAGAATTGCAAAAGTTACAATTCGGGAATCTTTGATGTGTTATGAAGTTTATTTGAATTCAAATGCGATAAGAAGTTGGAAGAATAGATTATTATATTTGATACTTACTAACCTTACTGTACCTACTTTATTACTGGAGGGGTGACTGTCGTCAATGGAATCATGGATGGCCTTTGACATATGCTGGATGATGTAATTGTCGATCCTACCAAGGAGAAGTGGTTTCCATCTTTCATCTCCACTTAAAATGATAACTATGATTGGTGGATTACAATCTAGGAAGCATTCAACCGCGACCAAGCCTTCTAAATCAAGGAGTTCTCAGCCTTGATTAGAATGTGCAAGGCCACGCTAAGAAAAATGTTTAGATCAAGTTTATTTTGGAGCTTGGATCGGTTTTGAAGTTCGATATATTCACAGCCTCGTATCAGAAAATTGTATTTACTGTAATTATTTATCATCATGGCAATTACGATTATTGCACCGACTTTTGCTGCGGTTCCTCATCATACGGAAGATGCGTTTGATAATTCTGATGATGGAGGTGCTGATTTAGAAGGAGATATTGATATGCGACCGGCCAAGCGGGCAAAGAATCAAGATATTGTTACACCCGGTGAAATAATTACTGATGACCCTCAATGGATGAGGTACAGCTATTCCTTTTCTTTCTGCGGATTATTCAGCACTAGTACTAGTATGATAGCTAACAATCTTTAGAGGACATGGCACATATGTCGCTCCTGCCAGTACCGAGATCATAGGAACTGTCGCAGGTACAGTTCAAAAGACGAACAAACTTCTCTCAGTACGACCATTACGCGCCCGCTACACTCCAGAAATCGGTGATCTTGTGGTCGGACGGATTGTAGAAGTGCAAAGTAAGAGGTGGCGTGTTGACATTGGAGCTCCTATTCTTGCAGGTCTACCACTCTCAGCAATCAATCTTCCCGGAGGTATTCAACGAAAGAGGACAGAAACCGACGAACTTCAAATACGAACTTTCTTCTCGGAAGGAGATCTACTGGTTGCCGAAGTTCAACAATTATATCAAGATGGAATGGCCACTTTACACACGAGAAGTTTGAAATATGGAAAGCTGAGGAATGGAGTTTTCATGGCTGTTAGTGGAACCGGTGGAGGTGGTGGTGTGGTTCGGGCTAGAAGACAAGTTTGGACTATCGATACGGTACACAATGGTGGGAAAGTGGATGTTATCTTGGGGGTCAATGGATATATTTGGATATGCAAAACTGTCGAGGTGAAGGAAGGTGAAACTTCTATCACGAGGATTGAGGAAACTGTCAGCAGTGCGGCATATTCGAGTCAAAATGATGAAATTACCACTGAAACGAGGAGAGAGATTGCAAGAATAAAGGGTGTCATCCAATTGCTGGTGGAAGAAGGATTGAGGGTCGATGAAGAAATGGTCATGAAAGGATATGAAGCCGCTGTCGAAGTAGATGATGAGGACGAGGGTGAAAGTAGTGCGTATATTGGAGGAGAAATAGGCAAACGGGTATTGAGTCTGATAAGCGGAACATGAAAACAGCATTGAATTTCATGGAAATCACATACGAGTCAGGATTAATATGCCATACGTTTGCGGTACTTTTTGTAGAACACAATTTCGGCAGCAAGAAAAATAAGGCTGCCGAGGTAAAGATGATGATAGTAACTTACCGATAGTTGACAAAACAGATGGGAATAATGTCACAAATTAATTGAACCTCGATTGTATTCTGGACTCCTGAAGGTCCGAAGAAGGCGATTTGGGATTCGGAGTTGTTGTCTCGGTTATTAACCTATCATCATTCTACAACACATCTTATTGCATAAGTCTCCGTTGTAGCATAGACCTAGATTCCGTCGCCTAATTTCATTCCAACCAATCCTTATTGCCGATATCACTTCCAAAGAAGTCCGAATCTCCAAGTTATGACTCTTATGAATGAGGATTAAGGCTGAGTAAGCATCATTATTAATATTAGTAACTCCGGTGTTTGAAAGTTTGATCCCATTGATGAGTCCAATCATTATTCTTACCGCAGAATTGTGAAAGACAACCGCTTTTGGGTTCTTTCGGAGTTAGTCCTTTGAGTTCTCCCTCATCAACAAGGATCCCCCATCTTTCCGCCGACGTCATGCCGTTTTGAGCTCCGGTAGATTTTGCTATCAATTATTTCGTTTTTTGTTTTTCGCTTTATCCGAATCTCAGTGAAAAATGGATCCAAGGGGCCTAGAAGCATGAACAAGTTTTGTAGTGGTAGAACAAAATGGAAGACTAAAGGAGCAACGGTTTATCTCCGAATTAGGAAAGACGTATGATATTTCGGAGACCACTTACGATTTGTTTTAGGATGAACTTTTGGCCTTATGGAGTGGATCGTTTATACATCGAATACATCGAATATATGCGAAAATATGTCATGGTTTTCGGAGTTTGGGACAATAGGTGAGAGAATATTTGCATAGTGCTTGAAAATGAACATGAAAATGAAATTATTCACTGGGTCGGGCGGGGAGGAGAGATGGCGGTTGAGGGATTGGTGTATATATATACATTGGGTTGGAATCTCGTTTTTTTATATTCTTCTTTTCTATTATCATCAGCTTCTTCATCATCATCATCATCATCATCATCATCATCATCAATCAATACATTTATTACAATCATCTCTTCAATATATAATCAACTCTTTATATCTTCAATACTCACTCACTCAATCAATAATCAATACTACTTTTTAAATACACTACTTCTATCAAAATGGTTGAATTCACTGTCTTCAAGGGTTCTAAGGAGGGAAAGATTGTTAAGGCTACTACTACTAGAGAAGTTGGTCCTAATGATGTCTTGGTCAAGATCACTCATTCAGTAAGAAATCATCCTATTCCATCTTTACGCAATTCCAAAACACCACTAACATCACATACTAGGGTCTTTGCGGTACCGATGAGCATTACAGACATGCCGATATGGCTTTAGGTCACGAGGGTGCCGGTGTTGCAGAGGTGGGTACCTACACTCCTTATCTTCCACCCTTCACACTCGCCTGGCGGGACATGGGAATCTGAGTGAAACTATCGTATAACACGATAGAAACCACTCATTTCCCATCTCCTAGACTTGACTGGAAAATATCCATCCTCATGCAACAACAACTAACAATCCTATAGGAAGTTGGATCAGCTGTCTCGAACATCAAGAAGGGTGATTCCATCGGATGGGGATACCAACACGGCTCATGCCAAAACTGCAAGCAATGTCTTACTGGTCACGAGACCCTCTGCGCCGAACGTGTCATGTACGGATACGGTAACCTGGACCAAGCATCCATGGGAACCTACGCCGTCTGGGACGCCGCATTCCTTTTCAAGATCCCGGACAACCTCGCCCGCGAATACGCCGCTCCACTCATGTGCGGCGGAGCCACCGTCTACAATGCACTCCGCTCCTTCAACGGAGGTGTCAAGCCAAGTGAACGTGTCGGAATCATCGGAATCGGTGGACTCGGCCATCTCGCCATCCAATTCGCCGCCAAGATGGGTTGCGAAGTCGTTGTTTTCTCCTCCACCGACGCTAAGAAAGACGAGGCTCTTGCGCTTGGTGCTACCGAATTCGTCGCCACCAAGGGTGTATCTGAACTCAAGGTTTCGGCTCCTATTGATCACTTAATCGTCACTACTTCTTTCCAACCAAACTGGCATCAATTCATGGATATCATGGCTCCTCAAGCTACCATCTACCCCTTGACTGTTTCCTCCGGAGATATGAATATCCCATACATGCCAATCCTCATGTCGGAGTTTAAGATCCAGGGTTCTTTGGTGGCGGCAAGACAGGTTCACAGAGATATGTTGGCATTTGCTGGTCACCATCAGATCAAACCTATTATTGAGCAGTTCCCCATGACGGAAGAGGGTATTCAGACGGCAATGCAGAAATTGGAGGATGGTAAGATGAGGTATAGAGGTGTTATTGTTGCTCAATAAATTTTTTGAGTGCGGTTTGGATGGGATGAATGGGATGGGATGTGATATGATAGACTTGACTTGACTTGGATAGGTTATGATTAATGGCAAGGAGTTGGTTATTAGGTATCCAGATGGATGATGGATGGGATAGGATGGGATGTAATGATATGATATGTTAGCATTGGGAAAAGAAAGGGGTTTAGACGGTGTGTGTGTGATAGATTGACAGTTCTTTTATTACTTTATACAAAATATATCTTTCGAATGATTTTTGTTGTCGCTATGCTACTTATTTGTTTACTTGTGATGTTAGATGTTACTCGAGTTTATTTTCACTTTTTCCTTTCCTGTTTTTTTCTTCTTCTTCAGTCTCTCTCTCTTTACTAGACTCTAGAGTCTATGAGTATGATGGATCGTAATATTAATCACCTCGCTTGCTTGCTTGTGTTCTCTATCTAATATCCAATATCCTCATCTAATATTCTCATCTATGAGTAATATCGAGAAATCAAGATTATGATTATAATCAAAGAAGATGATGATGATTAAGATTGAGAAATCTAATAGATGTTCTTATTCTTTCTCTCATCTCATTTCTCTTTCTCGTTTGTGTATGCTCGTTCTCGTTCTCGTTCTCGTTCTCGTTCTCGTTCTCTTTCTCATTTCATCACATTTCATTTTCTCCTTACTACCGTGACTACTAGGTATACTCAAGTAATTTACATACTTATCTATTAGTAATACTGATCCTGATACCTAATCATATTCCCAAATATATGTCCCCAAATAACCACACGAGATTTACAACTCCCATTTCTATCCATATCCATATCAAACTATCCCCATCCATCCCCTATTTCTTCTTCTTGTGAACCAAAGCCCCATCACCACTAGCATGTTTCTTATGATGTTTCTTCGACCCCTTCCCATGCTCCGTCATCGGCACCTTCAACCGCTCAGGTTCCAAAGACCGTGACACTCTCGTCCTCCCCATATTCGGATCGACTCTCGTCGTCACCGGACGCAAACTTGTACCTGGCGTAGGACCCTGAACACGAATTTCCGGAACATCCCTCCTTCTATCCCCAATATCCTCCCGCAATATATCGCGTCTAGTGTCACCAGACATCCTGATCCGCTCAGCGCCTAGTGCCCCGCCTCCTGCCCGCTCGACTCTCATCTTCTCCATCATCTCAGCCCTAAACGTACCCGCTTCTACTCTGCCAGATATGACTGATATCTCTGCGTTTCTTTCAAGTACAACTTGCCTCAATCCCACTAACCTCGCATCACTTACAGTTTCCCCTCCCCCCCCCGGTAACCCTATCCTGGGCGTCTCGTCCCGTGGAAATTGCGGGTTAACACCCTCCAACTCCCTAGCATCCGGATACATGCTGCGAAAAGTAGGGGGAGTAGGACCCCCCATTCTTTTATCTCCATGCAGAATCTCATATTTGATTGCATTATGGATAGCGTGTTTTTGAATGCTGTTTTGGTTGTTGTATGCGTTGAAATGGTAATTGGCGGGGGTGACGGGGTAGGGTGGGGGTGGGGAGGGGGGATTATTAGGGTCGGTAGTGTTAACACGGGAGCTGGAAGCTACATGGTGTCGTGTGTGGCTGGCTGGTTGAGTGAGCGGATAGGGCGGAGAATTGACATGTCCGGGCCAGGCATTGTTGGGGATGAAGTCTGGGGAGGGTGGCGCGGGGATGAGTGGTATGGTAGAGGGGATACTTGCAGGTAAGTTGGCGGGTCTGGATGGTGGAGGTGGGCGTTTGATGGGACTTAGAGGAAGTTTTGGAGGTAATGGTGGAGGTGGTTGTCGATTTGCTTTTTGATAGCCTTCGTGGCTGATTTTGAGATTTTTCTCTCTTCGTTCTCGGGTCGCCTCCTCTTCTTCTTGACATCGGATTCTCACCTGTTCGACTTGGTCATGGCGAGATTCGGAGTTAATTTTGTCTCTTGGATTTCCTTTGGCTGACGGTTGTGTAGAAGTAGAAGATGGTACGGGTTTTCTTGCAGGAACCGCGTGAGATGCAGTGTGTGGTCTGTGATCCGCATGACCACTAGAAATTGCGGCAGGTGAAGGTTCAGGTTCAGAATCCGTGTGACTACCAGAAGCCGCGGTATTTCGAGCCGCAGCGTCTCGTACCGGATCAAAGCTTGTTCGAGGTATTGCTGGTGGCCGATTAAAATGTGAAGACCCTTGTAAATTTGTGTGCTGATTGTTGTTACTTTGATATGCACTTGCATTTACAAGAGCTCCATTCTGAACAGAATATACCGGAGTGGGTAATTCAGCAGGAAATTGATCAGATACTGGTCTTCCCACCTGCAAAATTCCAAAAGTTCTGTACGGTAGTACATAATTCCCTTGAGTTAAATGTGGAAGAGGAGTCTGTTGGCCCCATTGTTTCCCACTCCGTCCCAAATAAGAACTTGGGTACTGTGAACTATTCCTCGATCTGCCAGTTACCCGAGGAGAAATATGACAAGATGGTTGTCCTTGTCCTGATTCCTGTGCCCCTCTATCCTGCCATATCGATCTCTGGTATCCATCTGTCGCTCCATAACTTATGGTTGTACCGCTTCTAGATGGACCCGTTGAACTAGGCACCATGTACATAGCAGCCATGGGATTCCTATTAAATTTACCAGGGTTGAAAGCACTGGATAGATCTAAAGGTGAGTGATACGAGTTTGGAGGCGGATCATATTTACCCTTCTCGTGGTATCTTCTTGGTTTATTTGTCCTGAAGTTTTCGTCATCACTGTCACTCTCAAGTCCCATTTCTCGAGCCTTTCGGTGTGCCTTCATTCTAAGTGGAATATAAGCTGGTATGTAGGGCGGATTGGGAGAACACAATCGGGGAGATCTGTAAATGTTCGATCATTCACATAAAGTCAAGGAAAGACAACAATAACACAAGTACATACCTACTCCTAGCTGCATCTTCCTCCCTCCCTCTTTCTTTTGCCCCCTCGAAAGCTTTCTTATCACCTGCTAACCAACGAAGTCTCGCATCAAACTTATCGTGAATGGGATTATCAGGCATTTTGTGCGAGTAAATGATTGAAAAGTTGCTTGGACAGTATTCATTATGGATTGATAGTCTTCAACGCGGAGGAATTTGTGCTTTTCAGAAAATGATGAAGTGTGGAGAGAGCTCGTAGCAGTATGCAGTGGAGCTTAAATAGAGACTTAAATACTTTGATATATGTGCCATTCAAAGAAGGAAGAAAGTACTGTGATTGTGATTGTGGTTGTGATCTGGATACCTCAAGTAGAAGAGTTGGAGAATAAGAATATTCAAATAAGCCTCGATTTCCCGGATTGAGATTCACTCGGACCCCGCATTAAGCACCCCTCTCTGCCTAGCCCCATCCACGTGTAGACCATTATACACCCCCCCTACACCGTCGTGTTTGTTTTGATCATCTGTTCTGAATCCTACTATACTAAATTCTAACGAAATGCAGAGTAGGTGAATATCTTCAATAAGTTTTGATCTTGACCACTTCTTCTAATCAATCTTTACTGGAGAACTTCCACCCAGATCTTTCTTCTTGAAAGGTACCTAAGACTACCTTGAGCTTTAGACTATGATGGTGGTCCAAAAGGTTCAAGTTCAGTCGAAAATCGAGGTTATTTATGACCTTAGCGTGCTTTCTCAAACACCTCACAAGAAGCACACAGCGTTTGGAATAGAATTTCAAAAAGTAGAAAATATTCATAGAAATATGTATAAAATAATCGAATCCGGAGAGAACAGTTTTATCGTATGTTATTCAAAGTAGAATGGATGGAAGGTAATTAAGCGACTCTGCATTCCTTTGTGGTCTATAATTTTTGTCTCTGCACCGTAGCCTCAGACAAAAGCCATTAAGTATCTTAGCACACATGCAACCAAAGTCAATCAGCTAGGCCTATCAATTGGGAAGGTTAGTTGCATATTGACATCAACTATTAACACTTAGCTGTCCGATTCAAGTCCTCTATCCCATGGCTTCAGACGACTACCGCCTGCGTATTATTACCATCATGGCTTTGACCGATTAGACGTTAGAGTTGTAAGTCGGAGTGAAGTAAATGGAAAGAAGGAAGAAGTGACGAGAGGATTTGAGATGATTAGGCCTTCTTGGAAACAGATAAGGAAGGTTGAAATGGTATAAGAAGATATAGGTGTTGCGATACTAGTGAATGTAGTCATGTGATACCGCGTCAAAGCGCGCATCACATCATATAGGCTTTCCCCGCTCTCGAGGTGGGAATAGCCTCATACAAATTTAATATATGCATTTTGAACCATATGGTATAGCCAAATCACCACCGAGGTGATACCAACAATAGGTCACAAAACTGCGCACATGCTTTCCTCCTTGAATTCTATTTGTAGTATTTCAAACCAAATGATAGAGAAGAATACCTTAAGCGAACGACGACGAGAAGCAGAGACGCGACACAAAACTCTCTAACAGCCCCACCCCCTCTCCCCAAAAAATACATTTCTAAACAATACACCAAAAGACCAAATTTCAAACAATTAAAAACAGCAAAATTATAACGAAGCCACCATCCCAACTTTCAATGCATATGAGAGTTGTAGCTAATATACTGACTAGCGACTTCAAGAGGGTAGGTAACTTTCATTGATCGCTCAGACCAGAGGTCATCGCCTTGCCTTACCAACTCCGCTTGCCACACAAATATTAGTTATGCGTGGTGTTGTTGTTTGGTTTTATATCGGTAGAGAGGTAGAGAGGTAGAGAGGATGAGTGAATATGGAGGAGCTCCAGCTGTACGAGTATGTAAGCGAGACTGCCGATGGGAATTAGTCAATATGGCCTGACACTTGATATGTTCCATTCAAGATTCTCTTGTAGAATGTATTAAAACTTAGTATCATCAAAATGGGGCAAGTAATTGAGTTGTATGGTTCTTGAACTTTGTATTGTTTGGAGAAGATTTGGATACTGAATATCACAGCAAGAAAAGTAATTACTTCTTCCTAATCTCCGCTAGGTATCTCGTCCACGTGGAAGAGGCCGTACGTAGATATGCATGGAGGTATCAAAGAGAGATTTTATACATATGAGTCTATTACTTCAAGAGTCTTTGGAAGCTTTTCCTTGATTATACATGTACGAAGGAGATACGAATCAAGACTCCTTTTCACTGCCAAAAATAGGAATCAAGGCAAGCCAAACCGGGAAGCGTCCTCTCATCGGAAAGATCTTTGGGATAGATGTAAATCAGAGCAGGACTACCCTACTTCGTAAGTATCCCAATATAATTTCATCCCACAACCAGTCCCTCCTCAACTTTATACAAGATGGCCTCTGCCAGAACGACCTAAACAGACGCCCAACTTCCCAAAGACCAACTTCCCAAAGACCAACTTCGAAATCTCCCACCTAAAGCTCCTAAGACTTTGTCTTTCATGGCCACAGGCAGAAAACAACAGATATGAAGCAAAACTTTCCGCCACATATCTACACCCAACATGAAGTAACTCACTCGAAAACAACATCTGCTTTAAACTCAGACTCAGACTCAGACTCAGACTCAGACTCGGACTCGGACGCAGACGCAAAGTAAAGAATAGCATCAAAACCATCCAACTTTCCATCCATCTCGGAGAAAACAGGACGTACCGACCCCCTTACCTCCCCACCTCCTAACAATCCTCGCCCAGCCCATCAGTTATCGTTCGATGTGCAACAAAACTTATTTCCTCCTTCTCCCCTTTTCTTCTTTCCCTACTTTCCCCTACTTCTCAGCCCATCACTTTATCGTCCGACGTGCAACAAAACTCATTTTCCTATCTTCCCTTCTCTTCTTTCCCTACTTTCCTAATTTCCTAATTTCCCCTCACAATCTCCATCCCCATCTCCATCTCCATTCATCAACCTCAGCACTAAACTTCACACTCAGTAACACTATACACTGTAACACGAAGCATATATCATATATCATGACTCGGGTACTCACACCCACACCCGCAACCATCCGTCGCACAAAGATAAGTTTCTTGGCACTGCTGTGCTGTCCCGACTTCCCTTGGCACCACACCATAGCGGGTTTAGATTTTGATCTTCATGGAATGCCCCTTCCTTACTTACCTAGCCTTACTTAGCCTTATTACACAACTCAACTCAAAATCCTAGGATAATTAACCCCAATAATTTCAGAACAATATAAAAAACCACACCACAAATTCTCCTCTAAAAATAAAAATAAAAATAAAACAAAACATATGATTTCCACCATAATATAATTTCATAACTTGACTCACACTCACCAGCGTGCCCAGCAGCCAAGCCAAACCGCCAAACCACACCAACTCTTGGCGACAAAAACACCCCCTTGGCACCAAGCCCTCCATTTCAACCAACAAACAAACAAACAAACCCAAAAACCAAAAAAAATAACACAACCTCCAAGAAATCCCAAGAAATCCCAAGAAATCTCGATATGCAACAAAAACCCCAAACCCCATTAAATAAAATTCCAATACTCACCAGGAGTCTTGGCTCGCCCTACCTATCTATCTATCTATCTATCTATCCCACAGCAATCCCACAGCAGCATCCCGACCATCCCGACTCGGTATACCAAAAACATACCAAAAACGTCATACCAAGAGTACCCAAGAGACTGCGATATGCAACAAATGGGTTTGCTGATGCATCCATCCATCATGTTACTTTTGTAATCTTTTGGGTTTCGAGTATTAGTTAGTGAGATAATCGTGGGTGGCTCCTCTATAGCTCAGTATAATGGCGCTCATGCTATAATATTTTTTTTTGGATATTATTTTGACTGAATGAACTGAATGAACTGAATGAACAGAATGAACAAAATGAACAGAAGAATCTCGATATATATTGGTTGTTTAGCTGGCTTAGCTACCAGAGTGAAGCGAATATGATATGCAAATAGGAAAATATAAGTAGAGCAAAGCAAAGAAGACGATTACCACCGCTTGTTCCGTTTTCCGCTGGCAGATTTAAGAAATTTTCCCAAAGAAAGAAAGATCAATCAATCATCTCAGATAAGAAGGCAACCCGCTACCGAATTTCGTCTCCCAAACTCTCTTAGAACCATAAGCAAACACAGCAAGAACTGCCCACCTAACAAGCACGCCCTTGACGCCCTCACCACCAAGACTCGTCACAAGACCCAACCAATAACCCAAACCTCTAACTTCATTACCCTCCCTATCGAAATTTGGTTTCTTCGTACTAGATTTGCGGAATTGGGCGAGCTTGGCGTCGCTGTATGGTGGGTAGCGGACATTGAGCATTTTCTCAATCCAACTGGGGGTTGTGGCGACGGAACGACGATGGGTGAAGGCGTTGAAGGATTGTTCACCTCGGTAGGAACCAGTTCCACTGTCGCCTACTCCTCCGAAGGCGAGAGTTGGTATTGAGCAGTGGAAGAAAGCATCGTTGACAGTAGCACCGCCGGATGTGATGTTGCTGAGTACTAGAAGAGGTGTTAGTGATATGCATCTAAGAATAAATGATGTTTAAGCGAAGTCATAATGTTCATCACTTGATATTATTGGTCTTCATGTCGATTGCCACGGACGTGGGCCTTGAAGGTGACATTTCAATTGCAAACACAGAACTATCTGTATCATGATGTGAGGTATTGTGACAAGTGCACTCCATAAATGGCTACCGGATGCACTTTTTGGATGTCTAAAGAGGAGAACAAAATATATCGTGAGAAGTATACATACGCTTATCAGTTTCCGCCTTTGTACCAAATGGATAGAAGCCCAATGGAGTCGAGTGAATATCATGAGCAATATTAATAGCCTCGTCAAGATCATCGACTGGTAGGATAGGAATCAAAGGACCAAAAGATTCATCCACTAGCATTGAATCGTCTTTGCTATCAACCAAAACCACAGTTGGCGCGATAAAATTTTCGGCCTCATCCAATTCTCCACCAATGAGGATCTTTCCCTTGGATTCATCAAGCATCTTTTTGATTCGTAAAAATTGCCTGTTATTGACGATTCGGCCATAATCAGGGCTGGCTTTGGGGCCCTGAGGAAAGAATTCTTTATAGGCGATTCTGAGTTGCTCAACAAAAGCATCCAAGATCTCCCTTTCCACCATGACATAGTTTTGGCCGACGCAAACTTGTCCAGCATTGAGAATCTTACCCCATAGCAATCTTCTGGCCGCCAGAGCCGGATCTGCATTCCTCGATACGATAGCTGGATTTCTACCACCAAGCTCTAGAGCGACTGGAGTCAGAGTTTCTGCAGCTTTCTTCGCGATGATGGTTCCCACTGTTGCGCCCCCAGTATAGAAGATCTTATCCCATTTCTCGTTCAACAAAGCTGTGGTTTCGGGAATACCTCCATTAACCACCGTATATGCATCTGGATCGAGACTAGTTTCGATAATTTTCTTCAACACCATGGCAGTTTGGGGCGCCTGCTCTGAAGGCTTCAACACGGCTGTACATCCCGCGCAGATAGCACCGACGAAAGGGCCCAGCGACAACTGAACCGGGAAATTGAATGCGCCAATTACCAAAGCCGTACCCAAAGGTTCCTTTCTGATCCTCGGGCTGAAGAGAGTATTGCTGAGCGCGATATCAGGCGCTTTCTCCTCCTTCATCCATTTCTTCAAGTTGCTGCAGACGAAAACAATATCATTCTTCATCCAGTCTATCTCTGTAAGACAGGTTTCGAAAGCGGGTTTTCCGAGATCGCTTTTTTCTGCTTCGATAAGGGCATCGCTATTATCAACAATAGCCCAATAGAGTTTCCGAAGTTGCTTCAAACGGTATTCGAGTGGTTTGGTTTTTTGCGAGCGAAAGGTGGTTCGAAGAAGTTTGGCTGTAGTGGGAATGGATTCGAGTGAACTGTGCTCGAAGGGAGCTATCTTGACAGATGACATTGTTCGTTTTGCGGGTCGGACACCTTGCGGTACTGTACTATTTCCGTGTTTAAACTTACTATGATACTTGTACGACAAATGGAAAGTTTATGTAGTCAATTAAATATAGATCTGTTTGAAGAATTTCAAATGAAAACAGTCAGACAAATAAGAGGCTATTTGTTGTAAAGTTCGAAGCTCCCCTCCATTGGGTAATTATACGATTATACCGAGGCAGATTGCTTTATCCGGCCATGAGTAAGGGGAATATGGTCAAAGACAAGCGGGGACGGTGTAACACAATATCTCACAACTTTATTTACATGTGTTCAGGAACTCGGAATAACCTTCTAATTCAGTGTTTTCGGAATTTTAGATCTTTAAACTTCATCTTTATCATCTTCCGAGTCAGATATTCATATACAAATTGTTGGACCCGATATTCGATGCCCACATTGGGCTATCATAAGATTGGTATCATTTGCCCGTACATATCAATCAATACCCCTCCAGTTTGGATGGCACATCTGGTCTGGTACATACTCGAGTACAATATCTTACATATGCTGCAGTAACTTTTATATTAACCTCTTAACAGCAACTTTTTTGTTGCCAATAACCCTCCCTCCAGCTGTGATAGTTTCAGGTAATGGTTCCTTGGCTTTAGGATTGGCCAGTCTATGTTTAATTGTTTCAATACCATCCACCAGTTGACCAATATGTTCTCGATTGGAATCCGTCACCATCATCTTTTGGCGATAGCCTTCCAATTCAAGCTTCCTCTCCTCTGTCAATCTCCACTCCACGGGAAATTTTGGCTTCACTTTGAACACATGATGACGGGTATCTAAAGGAATGTCTTCGAAAGTATCACCAGTCTATTTGAATTAGTTTCAGATCGTACCCAACAATGTCTCAAAACATACCGTTGCTTCTGCCAGTAATGAATCAACCATATCACCAAGATATCGCTTGTTCTGGGCTTGTGATGGATACATCTCACAACTCATTTTGATAATATCCGTTTTTGGGTTGAGTCTTGGACCGACCAATTTTCTAAGTTTATCCGTTTGGACTTCTGTCAGTCCGGGCATATCTGCAGGACAAAACTCCATCACAACTTTTTTCTCTGACGGATGTTGCTCTCCCATATATGAAGTGTATCTGAATCGTAAAGGAGACTCGGTCGATGGAGGCACAAATGGCTTTGCCAATTCTATATATCACTTATGAGTAAATTGCCATGGTCTGACTTTGCCCCTCCAGGTGAATGTCGAATGAACTCACTGCTCAACATCGGCATTTCCCAAGCTGCCAACCTATTGTAATGTCTAATTTCCCTAACCTGTTCCAACTCCATATGTGCTAAGGCCGAAATGTCATCGTCGTCATCCTCTCTGTCTTCCTCATCAAACGGTTCTGGATCTTCCAAATTCAGAAACGTAGGCTTTAGTTTCCTCTTTGCACCCTCATCAAACCCATAACTTGGTAGACTGAATGCATGTCGAGCACCCGCATTCTCAAACAATTCCTCGATCTCTTCATTGAACTCATCCTCGTCTGGTTCTGTTTCCGCGAGTTCCTTGAATTTCGGGTTGATTTTATATTGTCTTGTTGTGATTGAGAACAACCTTCGTTGGGCAATTGACTTGCTAGTGTATCTGGAAGTAATATTTCTGCATGAGCAGCATCGCGCTGTCATACGCAGACTTTGTAAGGCCGTGGCCATTGTGTTGATTAGGGCTGATTCTCAATCTTGAATCTCCAAGTGGAATTCATCCCGAAATAAACAATTTGGAGCTAACTTATTTAAGATTAGCTCAGCATCATCCCACGCACTTCGGAAAATCTATAACTACCGAAATAGTCAACCAATTAATCCGAAAGTCGGTGGGACAAAGATGGGGCAAGCGGCAGTACTTGTCCATAGCAACACCATTCTTAGTCTAATCATCGTCACTCTCAACGACGAGTTGTAGCGAGCAAACCTCAGAATGCCATAGCACTGGTATATATGCAACCACATATTAGTAGAGAGCTCAATTACTACCCTAATTGCCATTACATTACCGCTTCTTAGTTATGCAGTTTGTTTCAGAAGGCGCGCCCTCCAAGGTTGCTTTCGTCACAGTCGGTGCGACTGCAACATTTAAAGAACTAATTGAAGAAGTGTTCGCATCCCATATCTTGCAGGCACTTGTTAGGGAAGGTTATACGAAACTTAGGATACAAGCTGGGCCTGACGCTGATCATTGGAAAAATGTTATACCGGCAGTAAACGGATTTGGGTTAAAAATTGAAGTATTCGATTTTGACCATAATGGTTTGGGACATGAGATGCGACAGTGTAAGAAAGGGGGGTTCTATGGCAATGGCAAGAGTTTAGAAGGCCTTGTAATTTCACACGCAGGTCAGTGGTCCTCAAATAACTATATTCTAATAGAACCAAAGGCTAATGTTGATATGATATAGGTTCAGGAACAATTCTCGATGCGCTTCGAATTGATGTGCCACTCATTGTTGTGCCTAATACTTCACTTCTCGACAATCATCAAGCACAGTTGGCAGATGAACTGGAGAGACAAGGCTATGTCACCAAAGCATTGGGTCCCCGGTAGGTAGAACTCTTGGATATCGTGTCGTGTCAAAACAATGAACTAACCCAAGTGATGTAGGGATCTAAAAGAGGCCATTTACAAAGCCGAGAGAAAGAAAGACGAGGGGTCATATGAAACGAAGAACTGGCAAGGGCACAAAAACCCCAGTGTTGCACCAGTTCTCGACGAAGCTGCAAATTACGAAGAGCAGGTTAGGAGTGTATTGGACTAGTTATGGATGCAGTTCCTGGGATGGTTTACAAATCTATGAGACGGAGTTATTGGGGGAGGGACAGCGCTTGAAATTTCCCATCCTATCCTATTCTTTAGGTAAAGATAGGAAGAATAACAAAGTTTGAAAGGCTAAACAGGATATGGGGTTTGAAAGTTTCAGAGATTATAACAGGATACATATAATCTAGAATAAATAATGTTTTATATGATTCAAACGCTGGGGAGGGATTCGTTCCCTTCGGGCATTGGAGTTGGAAAGGATTGCAGGTACTCCACAGTTCATATGCTATTTCTTCTGGAATATCAATACTATAAGAAATCTTTCCAAAGATGACATCGGAATGTCAGAATGAGAAGCTCGGAAAAGGTTAGGATTTTCAGAGTTCTCATAATCATAATACTGTAGCTGTCGTATACCATTCACCGCATTTACGTCAATTATTGTCCAAATGGGTATAAGATGAAGTTAGTTATCCCCGCATTTGTGCATCGTGCGTGCATGAATTGATGATCAGGTGGATGTAACTCTAACTTACACGACGTTTTCTTCCAGCCATGGAGATTCCGACGAATGGGATTGAGAGAATACTTACCGATATGGTACTGCACGCACTCTCTTCATCACGCGTAATCCCCGATTGGTAATTCGGTAGACTATCGTATGGATACCTAGTGTACTCGGCAACACCTATTCTACGCTTCCTAACCGAATGCAAACTCTTGGGTAAAAAACAAAAAACCTGAACTCAAAGATTAGATTGCCAAGTCCTGTAGGAGAATGAATAATCTACCGGTATATCGGTACTCTCCTTGTTTTTCAAGCAACGTAATTAGATACAGATACCGGTATTTTCTCTTTACACTTTCGTGCTGCACAGATCCTGGGTCCTGGTCATTGCATACCTAGGTACGCAGAGTACCCACTGCCACCAGTATGAAGAAATTACCTTGATGGGTTGATGTTGAGGGTCAACGAGGCTTATATGCTTATATTTCTAATGTCTATACTGCATTTTATATATAGTTTCTTCTTCATCCCGAAGTTGACGGGATATCACTGAGTGCTAGTGGTAATCTTCGTATTTTTAATAAATGATCATTCAATCAATCAATTAGTCAATCTTTATGCTTCGACTGTCATGTCATGGTTTTTAATGATCTGCGCTGCGGTAGTCCGGTACTGAAGGCTTAACTTCCTTAGTGCTAGTTGCCACTCGGTATTTGTGGAGGTGGCAAGTAAGCTTTCTTCTAACCGGAGGTATGGCGGGGCAAGCCCTTCTGAGTAGTTTCTTATTTGCTTTGGTATTTTATTGATTAACCCTTCTCATATTTATGTACTGTCATGCTTTCTCAATAATTGCTAAGGTACTCGGCAAGCTTCCGCGCCTGATAAGCTAGATAGACGGGACGACATATCCACGCCTCCTCAACGTCATTGATTGATTAGTTGGTCTTCATGTTTACTCGAGATGTCCACCGTTTTCATCTGCAGGTCTCTTCATCGGGGCCTCGGAAATGCTAGAATGCTAGATTGCTACTTCTCTCAATTTGTGTTGGTTACATGTAAATTGTTAACAATTTAGCCATATGTCAAGTAGACAAATGCCTGCGGGATCATTGCATGGTGAGGCCGATCTCATGTTAATTCTGCTGAAAGCATATAAGTAGAGACGATATCTACAGTTTCTCTCAAAACAGAGAACAATAATACTTTCATTCAAGATGCATCTAGTGACTCGCCTGCTCGGTTCTTTTGCAGCTGCTGGATTTCTTCCAGCAGTTCTGGCAGCTCCCGCACCTAGACCTCAGATGAGCTATGGTCAACAATCAGTCGCTGTTGGCGGTGTATCTGCACCAGTTCCCACAGTTACTGCTGCTACCGGCTCTCTTTATGGCGATGGATCATTACTAGGCGAAATCGCAAAGCCATCGCCTGTCTCTGGAGGAGATTCGGCCATTGTGTCTAATCCCCAAATGGTAAACGGTCAAGAGGCAGATGAAGATCTGGGTTTATATCTGGACTTCAACAGCGTCTCAAATCCACAAGCTATTCGAGGGTCGGGTGGTCAAACGGATCCTGGGCCACGTAAGTTCACAAGAGACACCTCTGGAATTCTGCATATCTAACAATATCTATAGAAACACTAGAATATCAGAAATTGAACCCGGATCTTTTTGCTCCCCCAGGAACAGACAGTGGAGATGTACCACAAGCACAATGGCCCATGGGAATGTCCCACAACAGACCTGGCAGTGGCAAAAGATCCGGATGGGCCCGACAGCAAAACACCAATCAGTTACCTGCCGCGACCGAGATGGCTGGCGTAGATATGCGTCTAGCACCAGGCGCATACCGAGAATTACATTGGCACACGGCAAATGAATGGTCTTTGATGCTGAAAGGAAGCGTACGATTATCTGCTGTGAACGAGAAGGGTGAAACCTTCATCGATGACATTAGCGCAGGAGATGTATGGTTCTTCCCAGCCGGTGTCCCGCATTCTATTCAAGCCTTGGATGAGGGCTGCGAGTTCTTGTTGATTTTCGACGAAGGCGATTTCTCTGAAGATGGTACTTGTAAGTACCACCTATTATTCCATCTCACACAACTTTGCTTCTTTATTCCTCCCCACTTCCTCCCAACGCACAAACACTAACACCGCAACCCTAGTCCTCGTCTCCGAAATGTTCCTCCGCAACCCTAAATCCGTGCTCTCCAAAAACTTCCAAACCCCCGTTTCCTCCTTCGACAACCTGCCCTCGGACCAACTCTACATCTTCAACGGCACTCCCGCTCCCGCCAACATAACCGAGCAAAACCAAACCAGCTCTGCCGGTGCCCTCCCCCACAAAGATACCTACACATACCACTTCTCACAACAAGAGCCTTACGTCGTCCCGGGCGGCTCCGTAAAAATAATCGACACGACCACGTTCCCCATCGCTTCCAACTTCGCCGCCGCCCTCGTCACCATCCAACCTGGCGCCATGCGCGAAATGCACTGGCATCTCACCAGCGACGAATGGAACTTCTTCCTATCCGGATCCGCGCGCATCACCATCTACGCAGCGCCATCCTCTTCTCGAACATTTGATTATACAGCCGGAGACGTGGGGTATATCCCGGCTAGCAATTCGCACTATATTGAGAATACTGGAACGGAAGATGTGGTGTTTTTGGAGGTGTTGCAACAGCCGGTTTTTAGCGATATTAGCGTGGCGCAGTGGTTGGCGTTGACGCCGAAACAGGTGGTGAAGGATACGTTGGGACTGAGTGATGAGGTGATTGATGCGATTCCGAAGGAGAAGACGTTAATTAAGGTTGGTAATGCGAATTTGACGGCGTTGGCGGCGGAACCGAGTGGGGCGGGTGCGTATGAGGGGTAGATTTTGAGTGAGGGGGTTGGGGATAGGGTGATGTAGATGGTGAGAGAATTAGGGGCAGTTTAGTACAGTATATGCGGATTGGTGGCTTGAGCTTGAGAAATAGCTTATGAATCATTTTCACTTCTTATGACATCTTGATACATCTATATAAAATAATGAAATCATCCTTACTTTCGATTTCCTTGCATCTTGGCATGGAATTGAAAAATGGAGTTGCTTACTGTGAGATGAATTTGTTTTGTTGTGAGGGTTGTGAACAAAGTTACTATATTCTTATCTTGGAAAAGGACTTCTAGTCTTCTAATCTACCATTCTAATACATCGACATTCACATCAATCTGACACCAATCTTCCCCCTACTCTACATCCATTTTAACCTCTAATCTACCTTTAATACCTCTATCTCTCCACCCTTCCCACAAACCCCCCCTTCAATATATCAACCAACTCATCCAACCTCTCCACCACCAAATCCGTACACTCATGTTCCCACAACTCCCTATTAACACTATTCCCCAACAACACCGTTGCGGCGCCGGCCGCAAACCCCGCTTTCATATCATCGATCGAATCGCCCACCATGATCGTATCTCGAGGATCGACATTCCACTCCTCAGCTATGTGGAGAATTCCCGCGGGATGGGGTTTGGGAGGACGGAATTCACGGGTTATGATGGGGAAGAAGGGCGTGTGGGGGAGATGGGTCGCGAGGAGGTGTTGGACGGGAGGCGGGTGGTTGCGGGTGAGGATTGCCAAGGGGAGGGTGAGGGTGTGGGTGCGGAGATAGGTGAATAGGGTTTGGAGGCCTGGGTTGTTGTTTAGTATAGGAAGGAAGAATGGGGGAGATGGGAAATACCGGGTTGAGGGACTTGGGTAAGCATTGCTTCGCGCTCTATGGCGCGGATTCTCTCATGAGCGGCGTCTTGATCGGATGAAGGGAGGGAATAGATGTGGTCGAGGATATCGATAGTTTTATCTATTCCGAGAGCATTGCGCATTTGACCAAACCTATGGTGGTGTTAGGAAGAAAAAGGGGTGGGATGGAATGATGGTATGAGGTGGGGATTCAAGGAGTATTGGTCATACTGGACATACATGTAGGTCTGCGGTTCACTGTTGAAGAGGTTAGTATTGTAGATTCTGAGGACAAAACGATTGATGAACATAAGAATTGCGAGAGAAAGTCTCAAGAATGTATGAGTAAGGGTACTTTCGGTCGAGAAGATGCTTATTCCGGATAAAATTACCAACAGGATCCTGCAAAGGCCATGAGTGACTACTCATTGGCAAGATCATATCTCTGCACCCCATCTTAGAGTACATCACATAATTCAAGTACCGTACTGGTACCTGAGAACTTTCAATTCTTCTGTAAGATGAAGTCTAACATCTTGCCAGACTTCAGACTCCAGACTGAACCACCATGATACACCCTAACAACACAAAAACACAAAAATCAAACCAGACCAAACCTCATCTTCCATCCTCTATTGACCTCGCCCACTTCGATCATCCAAACAAAGCAAAAACATCATCTCCCTCCCCTTCAATCATTCCTCAACACCCCCCTCGACAATCACAAACCACGCACCAAAGATAAAGCGGAAAGAAACCCAAGAATTCCAAAAACTCACCACAAAGTCCCATCCATATCAAAAATGATTCCCCTCAATCTCCTCACTCCCTTTCCCTCCCCATCCTCCACATCCCCTAATGGGGCAAATCTCCTAACTCCCACCTCCACCCCTTCATTTTCCCTTATTCCTCCCCCCGTTCCTCCCCCTCCCCCTCCACTTATCTCCGCAACCCGTGTCGTCATACCAAAAGCTCTCTTACACCCACTACCACTACCACTACCACTTCCAATACCCCTCAAAGAGCCTTTACTCGTACGAGTAGTCCTAGTTCGTAAGGTTATCGACGGCGTCGGCAAGGTTATACTCGTACTCGTACAAGCGAAACGACTTTTCCTTCCGAGAATTGATTTAGATGCAAATTTGAGTATTGGAGAGAAATGATTGGGACGAATATTCATTGTATGTACCTATTCTTATAAGATAATAAGGTAGTTGAAGGTTTGTTGTGAGGAGTTCTCCTTTGAATGGAAGTGGCGGGGGTGGGGGTGGGGGTTGATACTGTTACCCCACTTGAATTGTGGCTAGTGTAAACTATAATATATCTCTTCTACCCGTTGTTAGGGATAAATATGGAAGGTGCGACTCTAGTGGATTCTATATAGTCTCACTTCACATCATAATAATAAGATCACCCTTCTTCATACTTATAAACAGAACCCTTTCACCGTAAAGATGGAACAGAGTAAATAATAAAGTTCACTAATATATACCTACTATTCATATTCAATCAGAAGTATCTTTCTTTCTCAAGTATCAAAGATTATCAACCAAGAAGTCCCAAGACAAACACAGTACGTTCTTTAAAGTAATACAACAAAAACGCCCTACAAAGAGTCCCGAGAATATGTCTGCTACGGTGGCTAGCTATGTTCGAAAAATTCCACTTTCTTTACTGTATTTCCATCCATCAATCCGTTTCTCCCATCCATATCAATCAGATTCCCATGGTTTCAAACCATGCTACCTACACTACATTCAACAATCCCCTAATTGCTACAAAGAATATGTCTGTTGTTTGCAAACTTGATAAATACGCCGAAAGGATGCTATTCGCTCCACAATGATATGAGAAGTATGTGTAAATATGTCAATGCATTATGATGAGAATAGTATTTTATGCACCTTGGGCTGCATAGCCCGAGCCATATAAGCCACTGCCAAAGGTTGCTTGACGTCGACTTTCTTTATGACTGTTGTCTTCGGATTGTTTTCTAGGTGGTGGTGGTAAGGGTCCTGCTGGAGCTGGACGCATGGGAAGAGCCGTGGTGTTAAAATTTGGTGCGGTTGCGCTTGAAGAACCATTGGCCTCGTGTGGATCGGGTGCATTCAAGGCGGCAAGTTTTGGTATCGAGTTAGTGGTGCTACCTCTTACAGGTAGACCAGGATGGAAAGCTACACCTCCTCGACCCGAAATACTACCGTTCTTGGTAGGAGAGCGAGACCTGGGGTTATGGTTTTCGTTGTATGGCGGAGAAGTTATCGCCGAACGTACATCGGCATTTTTTATGGGAATGTCCCCTGATGTAGGAGTTTGTGAAGTATTGGGCGAATCATCGCCGCGTAGCAGATCTCTACTAGCTGGAGATAATTGAGGTGCAAGATGTGACTTGCGGTTGTCTCTCTCTAGCATACTGACAGCCCATTCTCGAAGATCTACAGGAGTTCGCTTGGCAGCTTGGACGAAAGGTTCACGCTCCTACAAAATGTGTTAATACATAAACTTACACGTTGATGTTGGAAGAATGTAACTTACATAAAGTTCTTGAGGTGTTGGCCTTTCTTCCGGAGTTTTAGACATGCATTTCTGGATCATATCTTCGAGAATTTGAGGGAAAGCTTCGCTCTTTGGCAGTCTTGGCGCAGGCTCATATACAATTTGTTGAAGAAGATCAAGAATACCAGATGGTGCTCCATCTCCGTCGGATAAGTGCTCACTAGCGTCAAAAGGAAACTTTCCAATTGCGAGCTCCATAATGGCGAGACCAAAACTCCACACATCAGACTTCACAGTGTATTTTTGTCCTTGAATTCGTTCCGGCGCCATATATGTCGAGGTTCCAACAAAGGTATCTGCCACCGAATTGACCAATTCTCCTGAAACACCAAAATCACATAGCTTGATCTGACCCTTCGAATTGACTAAGATATTGGATGGCTTGATATCTCGATGCATGATATGATGTTTGATGTAAAGATATGTGAGGCCTCCAAGGGTAGCTTCTGCAATCTTTCCTAGAACATCGACTCTAACTGGACCGAAATGTGTAGAGATTCTATCTAGAGATCTGACAAGAAGTTAGCTTCAGTATTCTAATCTTGAAGAGCTTTCCAGCTAGTCATACCCAACATCCATATACTCCATACACATAATAACATCATTGTTATCGCTCAAAAATGCACCGTAAAAGTTGACGATATATTCCGAATTACAGTCATACATAATTTGTAGTTCTCGAACGATTCGACGACGCATTTCTTTCTTAGCTTCAACATGAATAACCTTTGTTTGCATAAGCGGCTGTTTGAAGTTTGAGTCCTCGAGGGTTTGTGCCAGCATACCTTTCTTGCCATTACCGTGCCTGTAGCCATATGTCTGACTTTACTGACGGTTCCTCCATTTCCATGGCCGAGGTCTTTCAATACTTCCAGATCCTCTCTCTTCAAATCCAACTTATATTCAATTCCAATTTCTAACTGTGCAGTCTGCCTGCTACTCTCACTGCCGATGCCACCAGGCATCTGTAAATCGTTCTCGGATGGTGCCACATTCCGAGGTGGGGGTGCATTCAATGCCAGACCTTTCACATTCTTCCTCTTCAATGTGCGCACCGAGCCAATAGTGTCCGACATTTTGTAAGACTGGCCTAGAAGCTAACGGTCTTTGACTGATGTCGAGATGAAAGGAGTTTTAAGAATCGCGCAGAGTTATGGGATCAATTTTCCCAGTTGGCGCTTGAGGAAAGGTGCTCTCAGCACGAGCGTATGAGCAAGAAGTTCAAGAAGTTCAAGAAGTTCGAATACAATGACGATGAGCGAGTAAAAAGGTATTTGGTAGGAATTACTTCTACCCCTATTATTGATGATTATCTTAAGTAGACGAAACAATCAGGAGGTCGAATATAGTAGATACCTAGTTCACTTGTCGTCGAGGATGATAGGATTTGGTGGAGGGACAAAGTGAAAGTGAAAGCGGGACAATCGTTTGGGTTTGGCGCTATGGCAATTACTACTCTAAATAAGAACGTGGAGGCGCGGTTGAAGAGAAAATCGGGAAATATTGTCTGGAAAATGGAACAATGAATAATAATATTAATAATAATAATAAATAGAAAATTTGGAAAAAATATGTCTTTACCCCTTTAATGGTTGAGATTGTATTGGACGAGTTCCTCCCAAAGGAACTTGACTTGACTTGATATTTCATCTAATGGGCCGTTCCATAAATGAATATATTTGTAATACAATATTATTGCTCTTGCTCTGGCCCGTATCCATTATCTATGTGTACCTAGTCGAAGTCATTTGTTCGTGCTTGTCTCATCATATTTGAGTTCCTAACAGAAAAGTTTTGCATTGGGCATTATTTGGCAGGAGCGTTTACTATTCGAACGAATGAGAATCTGAAGAAGCTTGGGGGGGCCAATGTTGGAGACCAGGAGAACTGAAGCATGAAGCGCTCTGTTCACCCCCCACTGATCGTTTATCCCATACGGGTCTAGGTGTCTAGGTGTCTAGGTACTCAGTATGGGAAACTTGATAGTATCATGTATGTACTCGAGTAGATGAATGAACTTTGCTAAAGTAGAGGTACCTAGTGTACAGACACAATGGGCAGCTCTGATTCGGGTCAGACATGCACCAAACACATGTGTACGAGAATATTTGATATTGGTCTTATATCTGAATTCGGAGAGTAAGTCGTACTGAGTACCTACCTACCAGGTTTAGTAGTAAGTTCACAACTTCTTCGGGAGGACAACCGATATACCGATACTTGTAACCGATTTACTGTATTCATAGAACATCTAGAAATATTAAATCCGCTAGAATGTATGGTATCCTTTTAGTCAAACTAAATGCTGGATTCCGAATATGATACCGGTATTCCATTCTGAACTTAGGTATTGATACATGTTACTCCTGGTGTATTCGAATCGGGGCATTTGTGGCTAGAGAGCACTACTCTACTCTAGACTTACCAGTAGAAGGATGGAAGCTATACCTTATCGGGGATCGATGTGGCGCTTTAGCCTTATATTTGGGGCAGATAAACACCAGCCTCACTTTCGACTTTCGGACTAACAAACTCCCAGTCGCGAGAACTAAGAGGCTGCCCAAAACTTGTCAAAGGCCAATCTATTGACTTATTCTCAGCTTTCAACTACAAATTTTTCATACCCAAATTATCACAATCGCCTTGCATGCAGCAATTGTAATCTCATTGCCTTCAATATTTCCCTCTATAATTAACAAAAAAGTCAGCAGATAATTCCGCAATCATGAGTATGCGCGATCTGATTGACGGGGACGTTGAGGTTGATGACGAGGAACATGATGAGGAATTTGACGAGGAAACCGGCGGAGCTCGCTCTGCAAAGCCGCAGAGACAAAATGGAGGTCTCGAGGACGATTCAAGTGAGGAAGAAGATGACGATGATGAGGAGGCAGCTCGTGAGGTATTTGGATTTACTTCTAAGTTACTGTTTTGCGCGTTATCACTGACACATTGCTAGGTTCGAGAAGGCTTCATCGTAGACGAAGACGAAGAGGATGATGATGATGCAAGAAGTAGACGTCGTCGCAAAGAAAAGAAACGCCGAAGAGAGCAACGTGAGGAGGAAGGTTTGGACGACGAAGACTTGGATCTCATCGGAGAAGCAAATCCGGAATGGGAAAGGAAGACAACACAACAGGTTCGTTATTTTAAGTATGTATATCTATCTACTAAACTAACCTTAATGCAGCCAAAGTTTAAGCGTCTCAAGCGTGGTCACCGAGATGATAACGAACAGGATCGAGAGCGCGGCCTGGACCAAATATTTTCTGACGATGAAGAACAAGATGCACCCCTCGAGTATGAGCGATCTTTTGCACGTCCAGACCATCGGATTGATGAATTCGCAGACTTCATCGAAGAAGACGAGCTCGAGGACGATGAAAGAGATAGACTTGCTGAGGAAAGAGAGGTAGCCCGCCCAAGAGAAAAGGGTTACGTAGGTGGCGCGGAAACATCAGGGCTCGATAAGGATGCTCTGGATGATATGGAAGCTATCTTCGGAAATGGTGAGGATTACGATTGGGCTCTCGCTTTGGAAGATGAAGCCGAGGCGGCGGAAGCTGGCGATCAAAATCTTGAGCTGAAGGATGTCTTCGAACCTTCGCAACTTGCGGAAAAGCTACTTACGGATGAAGATAACGTCGTTCGGTACTCTGATGAACCGGAACGATTCCAGCTCGATCGGAAGCCTTACAAACATCTACAAATTACCGACGAACAATTCAAGGAGGAAGCTCGATGGATTACAAGTCTCATATGGCCAAAAAAGGCGTTCAGCTCAGAAATGCAAAATCCATTCACCAAAGCTATCAGCAAGGTCTTGGAGTTCTTTGTTGTGGACGAGGTTGAAGTTCCTTACGTGTTTCAACATCGAAAGGACTATCTCATTCATGCCAGGAAGAATAAAACACGATCGGATCCTAATAATCCAGATGCGCCTGATTACGAAGTGAGCGCAGACAAGCTCTTGAATCAAGACGACCTCTGGCGCATTCTGGAACTCGACTTGAAGTTTAGGGCACTGATAGAGAAGCGTAATGTTCTCGAAAAGACCTACGACAATCTAAAGTTAGCCGTCGAGATCAATGATGCAACATTCGAGCAAATGATTCCAGATGCTCAGACTATGGAAGAGCTTCAAGATATTCAGGATTACCTCTATTTTCAATACTCCTCAGAAATCAAGTCTTTGCAAGATACTAATGGCGAACTCAAGGAAAAAAGAGCCGGCAACAAAACATCGAGATTTGATCGCATTCGTAAGAGCAGGGCTTACCAGCTTGTGCGAGCTTATGGAATCACAGCTGATGAAGTTGCCCAAAATGTTTTGATGGAAGGCCGCAAAAAATATACAGAAGATTCTCCATTAAGCCCAATTGATCTTGCCGACACCCTGACTAGCTCAGAGGATTTTAGCACGGGCGATGGAGTTTTGGACGCAGCAAGGAGCATGTTTGCCGAGGAGCTTTTTATGAGCCCGAAGATGCGCCAGCATTTCAGAAAACATCATTACATGGCAGGACTTGTCAGCTGTGCTAGAACCGATAAAGGTCTTAAAAAGATTGACGAGCAACACCCCTATTACGAATTGAAATACCTCAAGAATCAAACCTTTAGCGACATCGCAAACAAGCCTGAAATGTTTCTAAAGATGTTGAAAGCTGAGGAAGAAGGCTTGCTAGAGGTTCGAGTATCCCTCCAGAACGAGCGTGAATTCAAAAGACAACTATATGCAGAGTTCAGATCGGACAACTACAGTGAGGTTGCTGATGCGTGGAACGATGAAAGACAAAAGGTCCTTGATATGGCGTTCTCAAAGCTCGAAAGAATTATCACTAAAGGAGTGAAAGAAAGCATGCGAACAGAATGCCAAGATTCCATCCTTAAAATATGTCGAGACGAATACTCAAGAAAGCTTGATCAGGCACCATACAAGCCAAGAGGCATGGTTTTAGGTACTATTCCTCGAGTACTTGCCCTATCTAACGGCAACGGTGACCCCAATCGCGATGCTGTATGTTGGGCCTATGTTGAGGAAGATGGTCGGGTTTTGGATCATGGAAAGTTTGACAACCTTTCGAGAGACCAGAGAGCTCGAGAGGCATTCGTCGATTTGGTACGCAACAAGAAACCCGATGTTCTTGGAATTAGCGGCTTCTCTGTCGAGACTCATAAGCTTGTATCAAGTCTTAAAGATTTGGTGCAGGAACACTCTCTGCGAGGAAGTGAATTTGATGATGACAATAATGAAGAGCAAGAGCGAAGTGAGCCTCTGGAAATTATTGTCGTCAACGATGAAGTGGCCCGACTGTATAAGGACAGTCCAAGAGCCGCTGTTGATCACCCTGCATTCGCCCCACTCGCCAGATATTGTGTTGGTTTGGCCAAATATCTCCAGAACCCAATGAAGGAGTATGCAGCTCTTGGAAAGGATATTGTCTCGTTATCTTTTCACCCATGCCAACAGTTGTTGCCCGAGGACAAGCTTCGAAGACAACTGGAAACCGCAATGGTAGATATGGTCAATCTTTGTGGTGTCAATATCAACGAAGCGGTTAATGACGCCTATACAGCGAACCTCTTGCCTTTCATTTGTGGTCTCGGTCCTCGAAAGGCTACAGCCGTTCTGAAGTCTATCAATGCCAATGGTGGCGTGGTCAATACCCGTGATGAACTCGTAGGTGATCCAGATAACAACAAACTGCCCGTCGTAGGTCCTCGGGTGTGGAACAATTGCGCCAGTTTTCTTTACATCGAGTACGAAAGCGCGAATTCCGCTTCGGACTATCTCGACAACACTCGTGTGCACCCAGAGGACTACGAACTTGGTAGGAAAATGGCTGCCGATGCCCTCGAGCTTGACGAGGAAGATGTAAAGGCAGAAGTGGATGAAGGGGGGGCAGGCGCTATTGTTCGCAAGCTCATCAAGGATGACGAGCAGGAGAAAGTGAACGACCTTATCCTTGAAGAGTATGCCGATCAATTGGAGAGGAATTACAATCAACGCAAACGTGCGACACTCGAAACTATTCGTGCTGAATTGTTACAGCCGTATGAAGAATTGCGACGTAACTTTGGCATGTTGTCGGACGATGAAATTTTCACGATGTTGACCGGAGAAACCCACGACTCGTTATGCGAAGGCATGATCGTATCTGTCAACATTAGAGTGTCAAAGGAAGATTTCATCATCGCTAAGCTGGATTCTGGCATTGAAGGCCGTGTCGAGAAAGATGACGGTTCAGATAATCCCAATGCCTCCCTCAATCGTCTATTCTCGGTTGGTCAAACCGCTCAAGCTAAGCTACTCGATGTTGATCGACGAAATTTTGCTGCCAGATTATCATTACGCGAGTCACAGATGCGACCATACAGGAAGCGTATTGACCGTGAACCTGGTAATTGGGATTTGCTTCAAGAGCAAAAGGATAGGGAGGAGCTCCGCGAAAAAGATAAGGCCACGGGTCGCGTTCAGAGAGTTGTTAAGCACCCTCTCTTTAGACCCTTCAATGCCACTCAGGCTGAAGAATACCTCGGATCACAAGCCCCTGGCGATGCTGTCATTCGTCCTTCGTCCAAAGGAAATGATCATTTGGCAGTTACGTGGAAAGTCGCCGATGGTGTGTACCAGCATCTTGATGTTTTCGAGTTGCAAAAGGAGAATGAATTCTCAGTTGGACGACAGTTGAGAATCGGCAACAAATACAACTATAGTGATCTTGATGAACTGATCGTAGATCACGTCAAGGCCATGTCCAAGAAGGTCGAAGAGATGATGCTGCATGAGAAATTTCAAAGGGGCAGCAGGGCCGACACAGGTAAGACTTAATTCTATCAATTCACCCAATAACAAATTTGCTAACGTCATTCACAGAACGTTGGTTGACAACCTATACGGAGGCCAACCCTAAGCGATCCGTCTATGCCTTTTGTCTCGACACAAGACATCCTGGATATTTCCATCTTTGCTTCAAAGCTGGCCAACAAGCGCGCGTCAACTCATGGGCCGTGCGGATCGTTCCTAATGCTTTTGAATTATTAAAGAGTCCATACCCTGATATGAAGGCTTTGTGTAATGGATTTAAACTGCGCCACACAGCAGAAATGAATCGAAGATGATTAGGTTTTTGTTCTTCGAGGCTAACGAGCTGAGGGGGCTGAGGGGAACAAATCTGATAGATAACGATGCATCCTTCTACAACTTGTAACAAAATCTTTCAGGGGTCAACTCTAGCATTCAAGGGGGTTAAAAATGGATGGGAGCACTATTTATTAACATAGAAGCTAGGTAAAGTCCGAGCCAAGTTCAAACGGAGTAATTAATTCATACCTATTTACATAGTACTTTAGGAAGATAGATCTGATCAATTTGTTCAATTATTATATTTAGACCTTGTGTCCTTGATTGTGTCAATCATATTCACTCGAATTGGTTATGTTTTTTTCCTTAATGCAGTACTCGAACATTATGACCGATCGAAATATATCCGTAATCCTTGAGCTTGCAATTAGATCAGTTAGTTTCACCAATTCGATCCAATCAGTCCACTAGGAAGAGAACGTTCTTTAGGATTCGTTAATTAGAAAAGAAAGAATTGGTGGTTGCTAGGATTCATGTTGGACGGCAAGGCTGAGGCTAAGATTATTAGCTAGAAGTTTAACTGTCACAACTTGATGGCTCCGCAGTTTGTAAGATCATTGTTGTGTATATCCTTTTTTCTGTTTATTACATAGATAGATGATTTACATAGATATTTGATTATTATATTTATATATGGATTTTATATAGTTATTATTTATTTGTTCTTATAAATAAATCATAATGTGCATTGACTGTTATCCACCCATCACTGACAGTGGTGGCCCAGCCCAGCCCTCAAAACTGGGTCGAGTACTATTTCCAGGGTTTGTCTACTTACCTGGTTACCTACGTAAGAAAGCTGTCAAATAAGCAAACACAACACAACACAACGCAGCGCAGCGCAAGTAATCCAATATACAAACAAGAAGAACAAGGCATCGTATCGAATACGTGGAATTATTGCTTGCTTACCTAAATCAAACCTTTCTCCACTTTGAGATCACATTCTTTATCTAGATTGATTTCCTGGAGAACTCAAGGTTTCCGAACCTCCCTTTTCAACCATTACGAACTTTCACTTGAGCTGGAACATCTTTACGATTATCACACAGAATTTTCGAATGAGCGTTTGGGCGGAAGTCAATAAAACAAAGCGCAATGGCTGGCATGGAGCAATTAGAGATTCATAGCAAGGTGTGTATAATATACGGAGTAGATATCACTGTTGTCTGATCAGATTTATGCAGTCGTATATTGTTCGATGGGTCAAAGTTGAGGAAAAACATACAATTTCATGGAGTGTTCAACCGCACAAAAAATCCATGTGGGATAGCTCTACTCACTAATCTTAGAATACTTTATTGACCATATCAGAAACTTTGGAATTGTCAAACATCCAGGAACCGGATCATCAGCAAGCAGTGCTTCGACCCCGCGACAACTCAATTTTGACGATGCTGTTCATTCCCTTCAACCACTCGATCCCGTTTCGCAGAGAAGACTTTCCGCTACCACCGATTCAAGGAATGATTCATCCACGGCACAAGATCAACTAAAGGCAAAGGGGTTCATATTAGTTGAATGGTGTGGAAAATGCGAAGCGGACAAGGTATCCATGGGTACATTTGCGGTGCCTGTGGGTCATGGAGGAATGTACGGACTGGTATTCGACAATACATTCTCGAAACAAATATCCAAGACTGCCACTTTTGTCCTATTGACGTACCCCTCGAACGCAGCTCCACGCTCGACGCATCTACAAAAGCTACAAGGTTTGGATGGTACGCATGCACAAAACGGGAGGAGACCAAGTCCGAATCTCTCTGCCGCAGCCTCGGAATCTGTGGAAAGTCTACAGAGTACGGCAATGGGTCGGGGTGCGAGTAGAGGTTCGTTGATAAGTAAAAATGATAGCGAAGGTGGTTTTTTGAGCTACCATGTGGGTGTTTTACAGAAGAGGAGAAGAAAGAGAGGACAAGGCTACGCTCGCAGATTCTTCTCTCTGGATTTCGCGACATGCACACTATCCTATTACTATAGTCGCAATTCATCAGCACTACGAGGAGCAATTCCATTGAGTTTAGCTGCGATTGCTGCAGATGAGAGGAGGAGAGAGATCAACATCGATTCTGGTGCCGAAATCTGGCACCTGAAAGCAAATAATGCCAAGGATTTTGAGGATTGGACCAACGCCTTGGAAAAAGCTAGCAATAATGCTAGGGGGGCAGCTGGGGGTGTTGATATTGATTCGGTGCCAACACCCGATGTAGGATTGAAGATCGGGACCAGCTATCTCCACGTCCCATCAAATAAGGAAGAGGAGAATGAATGGGCACAGATCGAAGGCCTCGTGAGTAGGATTGCAGGGACTAGGGATGCTGTTCGTAGGTTATCGAAAGATACCGCTACACCGAATAGGCGACACTCACATCTTCTTGGAGTCCCTTCTGCAAGTCCTGTAGCCGAAGAGGCTGGTGATTATTTTGCTCCCCAAACCAATCAATCCAATCAGACAAACGAGAAGAGACCTTTCTGGAAACGGAAATCGAGCACACCGATACCCAGCACGCCGACAACTACGCAACGCAGTATGGCCGCACAACTTGCAGTTCCAGTGCCTACAGCAGCGACTAGCGAGGTCAATGCAAATGGAACCAACTTTCGAAAGCCACGGACCTCACATGAAGAACAGAATATCCATGATCATTGCACATCTTTTCTCAACGATCTTGACGCAGTCCTTTCGGACTTCTCAACTCTGATAGCAGGTAGTAAACGCCGTCGTGCAGCGAATACTATACCTACGTCTGCTAGGTCCACACATAGTGTTGATTCGGCTTCTACAGGGGAATTTTATGATGCAGAGGCGGGAGATCCGGATCGTTCACAGGTTATGATTATTAATCGTAAGAGTGAACAGGAAGAAACTTTAACGTCAGAGACAGAGGATGAGAAAGATGACTGTGGTGCTTCTACATCTTCTAGTGGAGGAAGTGAAGAAGTGGAACACGTGAATGGTGCAGCGGCACTTTTCCCGATTAAACCCAAATCTTTAGATCCTCTACCGATCAAGGTAGCTCCAAAACGACGAAAGGCAATTCCACCAGCAACAGTTATGCCTCCAAGTTTGATAGGATTTCTACGGAAGAACGTCGGTAAAGATCTGAGCACCATCAGTATGCCAGTCTCAGCTAACGAACCACTGTCTTTACTACAACGCGTAGCAGAACAATTGGAATATTGCAATCTTTTAAACACAGCCGCCGATCAAAAAGATTGTACTATAAGATTGTTACATGTGGCAGCATTTGCAGTTTCCCAATTTAGTAATAGCCGAACCAAAGAACGCGCAATTCGCAAACCCTTCAATCCCATGTTGGGAGAAACCTTTGAGCTCGTCCGCAGTGAACAAGAAGTTCCCGGAGGATTCCGTCTTCTCGTCGAAAAAGTATCGCATCGTCCCGTTCGTATGGCCTGTCAAGCCGATTCCGCCAGATGGTCACTCGGGCAATCCCCAGCCCCAACGCAAAAGTTCTGGGGCAAGAGCGCAGAGCTTATTACCGATGGTCGCGTGCGTATGGTTCTTCGTCTTCGGGATGGAATAGAAGAACGATATACATGGAATGTTGCGACTGTATTTTTGCGAAATGTTGTTATGGGTGAAAAATACGTAGAACCAGTGGGTAACATGACGGTTACGAATGAAACCACAGGTGCGAAAGCGCTGGTGGAGTTTAAGCAAAAGGGTATGTTTGGGGGTAGAAGCGAGGATGTGGTTGTAGAGGCCTATGATGGGGAGGGAAAACATACAGGGGTTAGTCTTCAGGGAACTTGGACAAATTCTCTTAAAGTCGTTGAAGCGGGTAGATCGTCAGGGGCCGAAATTTGGAAGGTGGGAGATCTAGTGGAAAATGCCCCGGGTTGTTATGGCTTGACTACATTCGCGGCTCAACTAAATGAAATCACGGAAATCGAGAAGGGCAAAATGGCAATCACGGATAGTCGATTGAGACCGGATCAGAGAGCGGCGGAAGCGGGTAAATTGGATGAGGCAGAGGATCTAAAGGCGAAGTTGGAGGAGGCGCAGAGGGAAAGGAGGAGGAGTTTGGAGGAGAGGGGGGAAATGTGGAGGGCGAAGTGGTTTGTGAAGGTTGAGGGGGGGATGGAGGAGGAGGGTGAGGAGGTTTGGGGTTTAAAGGGGGGGAAGGATGGGTATTGGGAGGAGAGGGAGAGGGTTGCGAGGGGAGGTGGGGTTGGAGGTGCGGAGTGGAGGGGAGTGGAGCCGGTTTTTGGGATTTGAGTGTTGGGGTGAGAAGATGAGATTTGTGGGTGGGGAATGCGGGGTTGAGAGTAGGGAGTAGGGAGTGAGGAGCACATTGAGCGTATATTTGTGAGCGTATATTAGTGAGCGAGCCAGCGGGTTATTTGATGAGATGATTGTGTGGGTCGATGAAATGAATTGAAAGAATGAATTGAATTGATTGAATCGAAATAATTTGGGAATTTGGGAACTTCATTGATGTGATGTGGTGTGGTGTGGTGTGAATATGAATGTGTATATGATATGAATATTGATATAATTTGAAATTATATGATAATATAGGGAGTGAGGTGAGAGAGAATAAGGATAGATAAGGGATACAAGAGGATGAATAGGAGCGAGGAAAAGGAAAAGAAGATAAATACTACGGATTTAAAAGGGTGTTGATATGAGTATGAGAGGGATATGTGTATAAGGGGATGAGGAGGGAGGAGAAGGAGAGAGGATACATGAGGAAGGTATGAGGGATAGAAGGGAGTGAGGGAGAGATGGGAGATGAGAAAATTTTGAGGAAAAGGGATTAGAGGAAAGAGGATAGGAGAGAGGAGGTATGAGTGGATGAGGAGTGAGAATATGTGAAAATGAGTATGTAAAAGGTATGAAAGATATACTCGAGTATATAAAAAGATATGGGAGAGGGAGAAGTATACTCGTAGAAGAAAAGAAGAATAGGAGAAAATAAGAAAAGTTTAGAGGCAAAGGGATTAGAGGAAAGAGAATAGGAGAAAGGGGATGAGAGGAAAAGCAAGGGATTGAGGGAAAGGGGAGTTATAAGAGAGGAGCTAGAGGTCATTAGAAGTGATTAGAAATAGAAGAATATAAATACAGGAAAAGGGATTAATTGGCGTACAGGAAAAGAAGATATAAGTATAAGTATAAAAGAAATAGAGGAAAAGTCAATATAAATAAGGGGATGAAATTAGAGGAATGGAAAGGGAGGTGAAAATGGAAGTTAAAAGTTAATAAAGAGAAGTATAGAAGAAGAGAGGAAGTTAGGGATAATTAAAAGAAGAGTTTTATGAATGGGAGGGGGAGAGGGGGAGAAAAGGCAAGTAAAATAGATAGAAGGGCGGAAAGAAGTAAATACTCGTATAAGTGAAAAATTCAGATACTACTAGGTAATTACTTAATCACAATATTTGTAAACTAGAAGGAACCATGTAATCAGAACTTAAAAATATAAAAATGAGAAAGAAGTACCAGTACCGGTATCTATACAGCAAAATGATAGAGAAAGAAAGAAAGAAAGAAAGAAAGAAAGAATAGCTGAGCTGTGAAGAATACGAGAGGAATTAGTAGATATAGATATAGGTGCCCAGGTGGGATTGGGATTAGGATATGATAATTATAGGGTGGATCAATAGGAAGGGGGAGAGGGGAAGCGGGGGGAAAGGAAAGTAGATAGATAGAGGGGGGGGGGGGGGCCAGGGGGGGAAGATGTAAATACGAGAGTATGAGGTATGAGGGGAATTGGTTGGATGTTAGGTGTTAGGTGTTAGGTGTTAGATATTGGATATTAGATATTAGATGAGATGAGATGTGATGAGAATATAAGGAGAGAAGTATATGAGAGATGTGAAAGATATATATGAAAAGAGATTTGGAAGAGGACACGGAATATAGGGTATATCAAAACAAAAACGAAGAGAAAGAGAAAGCGAGAAGATATAGAGTAAGTATCCCATCACATCCTATATTCGAGCATATTCGAGTATATCTTGATCATTGAAATTCGAGTATTTAACAATATAGAATGCATTGCATATAGTATTAAATCAAACCATCTTATCCGATATGATACAAATAATAATCTAGAGAGAGAGAGACAATCCTGGCCTGTCCTGTCCTGACTTTGAGTCGAAGAATACAAAACCAAATCACCTGTATACCTCCTTGGTGATATTGCATCTTCAAGTATTGTAATGACAACATTTTGCACGAAAGGTATACCCAATACCAAATACCAAATATCATATCGCCATTTTCCCTTCCTGCCTGATATCCATGAACTCCGTATTGTTACCCGTATCATACCATATGTTGCCCAAATCCCATGCACACGCAAGATGAAATTCCAACCTCCCAGCGTAAATATTAATAGACGTCGTCCTCCGGATCGGGTGAATAGCGTAAGGGCTGACGTGATTTAATGTGGTAAGGGTCAGGATGTTTTGCTTTACGTGATTCACCGCGGAACTCTCCAAACTTTCTTGGTACAATTTCGGTTCCTTCTGCCAGTGCACTGAAGTTTCATTAGCATACGTTCAACTTGTAAGAAACCTACAATGAAGTGGGTAGGGTACTACTACTCACGGAAGACTACTGTGAATCACCTCATTATCCTGATAATGTATCATGAAACCACCACCAAGAACCCTTCTCAAAGCTTGTAATCTGTGTGATTTCCACCATTTATCAATCGGCACATCTTCAGTCTTATCCATGCGAATATTCATTCGAGAGCCTTGTAATTTTCCACTCTCATTGAGTACATTTGAGTAACGAGGTCCTCGGACTGGGTATTTGATTGTGACGAGGATATCTCCAAAAGTGGCATGTAATGTCTTTCGATCTTTCTTGGAGATATGTTTGGATGACACTTTTGCTAGTTCTAAGAGTATAGTTTCGAGTCGGTTCTTTTCACCGAAAGGTTCGTAGCGTTTGACGTGACTGTAATCGAGGGGGAAGCCGTCTTCGTCTACTTTTTCGTCTTTGGTGGGATCAGGATCGTCTACTTCTCGTGGTGTATAACTCTTTTCGTAGATTAGAGCGATATTTTCTCCGGCGGCGATTTGGACTGATGTCGAGGAACTCTCCAGTTGGTCAACGAATGCGTCCATTGCTGCCTCGGTCTTTTCTTGCAAGTCATCCACAAAGGTAGCCAAATTACCCCATTCTTCACATGCAGCTGTAACAACTTCAGCGCTATCGGCAGCATCTATTGAATTACCATCCGACTCGACAATTTCTAGGAACTGATCCATAACTTCACCGACTTCTGCGTCGGATGCGCCACCGTAGATTGCTAATGCAGAGACTGTTCTAATAGCTGCTGCTTTGACAGTAACATATTCTGATCTTTGGTAGACTCTCTCAAGGGTTTTGAACATATCTTCGTAGACATCATCGGAAGGGCAAGTAATGAGTGTGAGACCAATAGCTACGATAATATTAGAAATAGTCCATGTATTATATGATGATGATGATGATGATGATGGTGGTGGTGCATACCTCGTAAAGCTAAACAGGCTTCTTTTTCTCCTCTTGGGGCTCTGAGACTTTTACAAAAAGCAGGATACAAATCTGCGGTTGAATTTTCGATTTCGTCGTAACAATATTTGACCATGAGATAATTATTGTATGCCTTCAAAGCACGTTCTCTGCCCACGTCGCTGCTTTTCTTTTGGTCTATGATTTCTTCGATACGATCGCGTAGCTCTAGGATCCAGTTGAGAGATACTTTGTTTGGGTCTTGCGCGATATCATCGATGGAGTTGAGACTATGAAGATATGTGAGTAAGAAGGGGGACCATTGAGAGGGATGAGATATCCTACCTCCATGATGTAGCATCATCATCATCATCATCACTCGAATCACCATTGTCCTCTTCCGAAGCATGGCAACTAACATCCCTTGATTGTGTTCGAGAGTTCGTTTGAGAATCCGTTGCTGATGCGGTTTTCGAACCTACTCGCGATGCTGCTTTCTTAGATACCGTCTTATTACTCTCCAATGCTCTCCTTCTTAAATCTCTCGTCATTTTGACTGAAAATGATGTTGTATCGATCGTTGTGTGTTTGTGTTTTTTTATTAATCTTCGATTCTTTGGAAGTATTGAAAGACAATGAGAATGAGGTGGTGATCTTGATAGATTGATTTTTTCAATGGACCGAGTTAGGTGAGTTTTCGACAGATTGAATAATTAAGTAGGACTAGGTGGTGCTTAGTTTTAGAGTTTCGTTCTTAATGATAAATCATGAATCAAAAAAGTGATAATTAGTTGGATATATATGCTATGATGAAATAGGTTTAGTAGATCAAATTCTATTTGCAGTAGTGAATCCGGATTATGGATCGAATTATGGCTGTATGATGATGGATTGGTGGGTCCGCTAAGATAAGAATGATTAACTTTAAATACCTTAGGTACTCCACTTAGATAAATCAATGACGATTTATCTATCACAATACTTGTACCTAGTATTGTAATATCTGCTGTGTTACTGAAGAAGTTTCAATATTACTATATAATTTATTATTAAAATCTAGGTAACAATTGAAGAATGAGTCATATTGGCTTTATAGCTTGATAAGAGAAATAGTACTAGTAGTAATTTCAAATTCGATTTGATCTACTAGGTATCTAGTAATAACAAATTCATAATCGATTGGATCAATTGTATCTAATAACTTGGAAGCATATCACTTATACTAGTAGGTAGTACTAATATAATCAGTAGATTAAAGTAGAAGGAGAAAATCAGAAAAGAGAAATAAAATATGTGGAGCACAGTACGGATATCTAAATAATCCTTACTATCGAAAATACTAAAAGCATATAGACCCATAAATTACCTATCCGTCTGACCACAGACCACCAAACCACTCCACAATCCATAACCCCTCCTCTTCCCCTTCTCTACAAAACCATTCAACTGAACTCAAAAACAACTCAAGGTTCATTCAAGAAAAACATAAACATTTTAATTTCATTTGCGACACCATTTGGAACAGGGTCTATCGACCATACCTATCCCTTCTCACCTTCCGAAGGATCCAACCATCCAACCGCCAACGAACACCTCTAGCCTCGTCATTGCGTTTCACAACCCATCAGCCCGAATATAACTTCGTACCATCAAATTCACATTTCATTACACAAATCCAAATCCCTTTGGTGTCAAATCCTCTCTTCATATCTTCGTACAGAATTATTTGAAGTCTTTGCCATCTCAGAATCCACAAGATGTCTCATCAAGGTATGCAAGTATTGATTTCATCATCATTGTCATCCACTTTTGATCTTTCATGTAATCAATCGTAAGGCTACAGCTTATGAGTCTTTTCACTTCTCCATTTCCCAGGATATCTGCAAAGTTCTCTACTTTGGAAGTGGTCTTCCTGACATGACATTATTTCATGCATATGCGTTCACTGCTGTTTGCTTTTCCGGAAGTCGATGCTAAAGATTCTCGTAGTAAACGTTCACTTTCGTCACATCCCCGTTAGCCCAATCCAGAATATTCTCAAACCGGCTTCGAGAATCATTAACCTCAACCCAACGCGAAAAGTTTTAAAGATAGGAAGAGCTTCGAAGAGTCCTAGCAAAGGCCTCCAAGGTGCTACTAATAATGCTTGGTTTGATAGTCCTGTTATGTCTAGAGAACATGCGGAAATTGTCTATCGTCCATCCGACGATGTAAGGCGACTCTATCCTCGTTTTCAAATTGCTCGTTAACTTCTTCTAGACTATCCAAATTCGAGATGTGGGTTCCATGCATGGTACTTTTGTGAATGGAGAGAAATTGGGTGATGGTTTCAGACGTCTCAACATAGGTGCTGAAGTTGTCTTCGGTGTTGAGGTCAGACGCGGTATGGTCATGTTTCCAGCTTGTCATTTTGTAGTTAAATATGCAGTAATTCCGTGGAAGTAAGTCTCATATATACTATTTTGCTAGCACATGCTGATCTATGGCTATAGGAAATCCAACACCTATGCTGTCCCCGATTCCTCCGAAAATGAAGACGACGACTATCAATACAGTGACGAGGTCGTATTCGAAAGAGCTCATAGTCAGGATGCCGCATCTATCGAAATGACTCGCTCTAGCCCCGCAGCATCTAAATCGATTGATGCTATCGATCTGACTTTGGACGATACCCCTAGCCCTAGACTTAAGCCTACTGAACCTTCCTGCATTTTGACAACCGAAAAACTCGAGGAAGAAAAACTAGCTCCCAAGTCGCCCGTTCTGGCTGTCATGGATCGTCGCCCCTCTATGGCAGAATCGCACACAACAATCCAAGAACTTGGCCATTCGCGAAACTTCACGCCCGAATACGAGAGCGATGATAATGAAGAAGGCATGCTTTCATCGTTGTGTGACTATAATTCGGAGAACGTGTCTACTGATGATGAAGAAGATTCAGATAAATCAGAGGGATCAGAGGGAAGCATCTTGGGTAACAATATTCGTGCAACACTCGATGAGAACCCTTCTCATGTTCTCTCTTCGCCCTGTGCATCTTCTCCGGGTTCTCCCCTTATCGTTCCTCAAACTCCACCAACCCGATTCGAGAATGCGCATATTCCTGAATCTCATGTCAGGACACAAATTCATCCTTCCCAGAAGGCTCAAGTTCTTGGTAGCTGTGGTAGTGATGAAGAAGAACAAACCGACGATGATGGAAGCGTAGGACTTTCCGAAGCGGAAAACGAAGGCCTACAAACCTTAATTACAGATGGTTTACTCGAGAACAAGCCAGCCAAGCATTCCTTCCACTCTGACAGCCTTATGACTGGAGATATATGGTCCAATAGGTATCCTTCATCTTACAAGTTTGAATCAAACCTCGAGTTTCCTACTCCTCTTGCTCCCCCGTCAAGGTTAAGTTGGCATTCTGAACGGGAAGCTAGTCCTTCGGCGGTAGCAATGGTTAAAGCACCCGAATTATCTAATATGACCGAAAATCCTCTTGATCAAACTTCCGAGACCTCATGGAATCCCTTATTGAAGAGAGAAATATGTACCAAAGCCTTGGGCGATAAGACTGGCAAGCATGCTTTCTTCGAGGCTAGAGAAGATAACAAGATACAACTACAAGCCCTTGCCGATGACAATGAAAGTATTCAAAATTTTCGCCTATCATCGTTCACAAAACCGATTCGAGGTGTCAGATTCGCACAACCCTTGGCTCAATTCGTACAACCAGTACAACCAGTACAACCAGTACAACCAGTAAAAGCCATGAAATGTAGCAATGAACATGATCATGGTTTCATGCTTAATGATTATCATTCTCCTGTTCCAAAGAGTCAATTCCATCAACAGACTGCTTCATCTCCTCCTTACTTGATTGGATCTGCAGAAGAACGACATTCCATCCATCCGTATTACTTCAGCTCAGATGCCTCGTCAGGAGCTCCAGACAGTCCAATTTTGGAAAGACACCCCGCTAGATCTGGTCTTCGTATTGATGATATTATTGATGGTGCTTCAACAGGCAGATCGTCCAAGAGAAAGGCGGATGAAATTTCCGATGACGACGTTCACAGAGAACCCTCCAACGCTGTCACAAATGACGTTCGGAAGAACGAACTTCGAGATTGGGATTCTTCAGTTGTGGCAGTTGATAACTCTACAACATTAACAGAAGCCGTATTTGAGCATGCACGCCAATTGTCTACATCTCAAGTTCTTCCTTCCATGTCGGCCACTGTAACTATCGAAAGTCGACCAATCAAGAGACTCAAGATGAAGAAGTTCGCCGAGGCTGTAGGATTCTTTACTCTCGGAGGAATCGCTGTTGGCGCTAGTTTATTCTCGGCTCTCGTAGCAACAGCTCCAGATTTTTACCAATTATGAGAGAAATACTTCCCACTCTAGTTGGAGCAAAATTGACAAGAACCACGACTCTCGCGACATAACAGGAGTTTATTTGGGTCATATAGGATAGCGGATGGGGGATTACAATATGATACAGAGAGGCGGGAATGGAGCACAGGGCTTTTCTTTTCATTCTGCTTTGATTGTGGCTGGTTACTGTTGCTACAAGTTTGAGGAAAGATACATAGTGCTTTCAATGATCTCGTGGCTGGCGTTTGAGGACTTATGTTCTGGTTGTCAATCACTTATGATGAAAATGAGATGCGATGGATAGTCAAACTCAATGAATGGCTTGGGGGTGGGAAGGGAAGGGAAGGAAAGGGGAGTTTATCATATGAAAACACACAGCATCGGTTTAAGATTCTTTTCCGATTTCTGACTTTTTTTCAAAGGCGTGGATTTTCAAATTATTTGTGGTTTCGTTTGTTAGCTTTATTTTCGATGCCACTGTGCTGGTGCTGGTGCGAGGAGGGAGGGTAGCTAGTTTGATACTATGAGTAGTAGCTAGGTAGCTAGGTATCTTACGAGTAGAAATGCAAATGAAAATAGTTATTGAGTTGAGTATGTTGAAATGAGAAATGGAGATGTATAGCATGGTATAGCATGGTATAGCATATCTTTGTGATTTTCTAACTTCTAGTTTTTAGTTTCTGTAAGTATTAAGGAGGGAGGAGTTTATGATTGATTAACATTACGGTTTTTCTTGAAGTAGGTGAATGGATATGGATGTGGATGTGGATTATTAGTGTTGGTTTGATGTGTGGAGGTGTAAAGTAAGTGCGTGTAAGTGTAGATTAGTGTAGGTGTAAATACTTGTTTTCGACTCGGACTTGTACTTGAGGATAAGTTGAAAAGTTGAAAAGTTGCAAAGTTGAATGGAAAATGGTTAGGGAGGTGGGTATAGGGGAGGTGAGTATAGGGGAGAGGAGTGAGGGGGAATGGGGAGAGTGGAGAGGGAAGGTGGAGAGTGAGGGAAGGAAATAGGTAAGGGGGATGGGGGTGGTAAAAGGGATGAGGGGGGAGGGTGGAGAGGGGAGGGGTGAGAGGAGTGAGAGAATAGATAGGAGATTGGGTAGGTTTCTGTTCTGTTTGTTTGTTTATTTATTTATTTATTTGTTTGTTTGTTTGTCTGTTTGGATATTTGGATGGATGAAAGCCCGCTCAGCATGGCACGCCACCACGTGCCCCGTGCGCTCCGTAACAGGTACATGGGTACAGTCTAACTGTCGGTTGGTATTGTACGGAAGGGGGTTAACAGAATTGATGCAACAACAAGGGTTCAGGCAGTGAGCAGTTTTTCTACCACTTTCTTCCTCTTTTCGGGTAACGTGAGTGGCAAAATAACCCCCTGCTGTTGCATCAATTCTGTCAACCCCCTTCTGTAATAGAAGAGAGAAGATCACATGTTGTCCTACTGGAATAGGATTCGTTACAATCATGTGAAATTGCAAGTAGTCTAATCAATTATGGTAGTTGAGCACAAAGCTCTTATATAGTAGGAGGAAGCCCGCTCTTATATACATACTAACATGATTCTAATATAGCATAATAGCAACATCTATTCGTCTATTCATCATGTGACTGTCCCCTGGTCTCGTGGTTCGTGACAATGATCTAGCTTGCTCCTCTCGCCAAGAACAGACATTTCTTACTAGCAATATATAAGCACTATCAGGGGGCACTAGGGTAGGGGTGCCGGGAAGAAATATCGCCATCATATGTAAGGGGAAGTATATTATGAGCCATTGGCAATGCTAGCAAGTTATAATAAGAAATATAATCAAACGCGTGTACGAAGCTAGATACATCTTGTAACGGAGGCACTCAGGACCAGCAATTCTAAGACAGTACTCTCCATTCTTAGGACAATAGATACAGAAGCGAGTGAGTTGCAACAGGAGATGCCCCTGATTTCCTGATCCTATAACACCAGTGTGCGAGCACGTGACATGTCACACAAGCGCCAGTCACACATCTATGCCTCGTCGGCGAACCACGAGACGATTTCGAAAAGCTCTGAGGAGTTCTCAAGCTTACTTCCACCCAAAATGATCTCGCGCGATAGTCCATCAGTCACAAATAAACCATCCTTGCCTCCATAGTCCGACACATCTTGATCGGAGGCGCTCGCACCATCAGACAACCCATCCCTGTTGTCGTTGTGCTGTGAATCAGTATGCCCGCAGTGCTTGTGGTGCGTGTGGGATTTAGTGATCTGTTTAATCCCTTCCAAATCGCCGGCAGCCTCGAATTTTTCGCTGTCTACAACCGGCAGATCCCGGAGAAATTCGGTCATTGTCTCAAAGCTGCGCTCGTTGTAAGGAAGTGGAACTCTATATGGGACATCGATGCAAGCTCATTTGGCCGGATACTCCAGCTCGTGGGTTGACTCGTCATTCTCCGCATGTCTGATTGATAAGCCCAACTTATGCTGGAGACCACGATCCTGGACAAGCTGGCAGAACTCCTCGAGGAAAGCTCGTTGTTCTGAGATGTCTGGCCCGGGAGCTTCCATATACTCGTAGGCTGAAAGATTGCCCTCTTTATCGACATAGAAGTGATATCCGTAAAGTGAAGCATTCTGAGACACGGGAATTGCCTGCATAATGTTGACAGTACCATGCTTTGGAATCTTCACATCTCGTGCGGCGAACACTTCTCCTTCTTCGAGTTTGAAGTGTATATGAACAAGCCTGATGCGTACATTGTCCGGAAGCTTATATTTGACAAGCAGCTGTTTAAGATCACTTATATCGGCTGCATTGTCATGCGGAATCTGAGTGACATCGTTGATGTAGGGAAGCGTATTGTATACACCTGCTGGGAGGATATCGTTTTTGAGGATCGCCATTGTGAACAGACAAGTAATCTTTCGTGGGAAGTGAAGAAGTAGGTTATAGGGTGTTTGGGAAATTAGGTATAGAAAGATAGAAGGTTGTAATAAGAGCAGGCTGTCGAATGTGCTTGACCGATGTGGACGGTTCTGTTGGCGATGAAATAACGAGACTAACCCCAAATGTGACTGCAAGTAATGAGTCTCAAGCCAAGGTACTATCAGTACTGCATTCAACGAGATTGTTTGCAGTCGTTGGTGGAGCCGACCACAGTTGTATGGCATTGCAAAGCTCTCTTTGGCCGTATGTAGCTGTGTGCATAAGTTTCATAATGACTATTGGTCCACGTTGCCAGGTATATTTGTAATCTCTTGTCACACACCATATATATACCTTGCAATATTGACATTTCTGATTCTTTGACAATAAGTCAAGGAAAAGCCAACAGCCATGAAAGGACATCTACTCGGACAGCCATCCTCCGAACCCGCATGGGTATCAATGTGAGAGGCTGTCGTAATTGATGGTTGCCTGTACATATTTCCAAATATTGCCTTGTCGAGATGCCGTAATGCAGCTAGGGGTACGTCGAGCTGCTCTGGACCTGTTGAAAATGTGCCACTCTCCAAGTCTTGGGCGAGACAAGTCCTCGGCCTCACATCGTGTTTCCTTATTGCCGGCTATTGAGCTCATTTTTGAGCGAGACTAGGTAAGAACTGCCGATCAGTGAAGCTGCACCAAAAGGCATGACCCAAGGAGTGTGTCTGCAGGGGAGTCAGTCTGGAATGGTTTGTCAGAAAACTGCGGTCGAGGAAGAACTTTCTAGATCGCTACGGACAAAGTAGGCTTGGAAAGCTTGGGGACGACCATTTTTCTAATGTCATAATTGCTTCGTTCGAGCAGCCATTATCTGCCGCGTGCTGGGACGCGCCTCGCCGGAAGCTATGCTAATATATCCTTTTGTGTTACTAATACCAAGTAATATAAGCGTACTGCATCGTCGATCGACAAAGTATTTCTTCCGCATAGGTCCTTTACGAGGATTAACGAGCGGTTCAGACAAAGGCCTTGTATCAAGAAGGGCGGGGCGACGTAGAGCGATAATTAAGCAGGCTGGACCTTCTGTCCTGGTCATGATGATATCGACACTGCCATGATTACATCTGCTTTACTCCGCCGGAGTTGGATTGTGACATGAGAATCTTCATCCTGCCGCTGTAATTGGGTAGCCAGATTTCCTTGTAGAGATGCTGTTTTAAGTTCGTCGACTGTGAATGGAAGTTCACCCATTCGGAACAAACCAGCAAACACAACAATACAAACGGTCCTGAACTTCATAACCCTAAGCATAAGATACAGCCTCATACACAGGAACATTGTCGTCCATGAATGAACACTACCGTCCCTTGTCGGCCTAGATCTTTCTGAGCAATCTTCGCCGAAAATCAGGGTAGCCTGCTTCTTTGGCTTGTCAAGCTGAGTCTGCGAATCCCAGAAACAATGTGTTTGAGCCATGGGCTATCAAATACTGTAAGGTATAGGTGACGGTCAAGATGCTGGTCGGAGAGAGCACTAATCTGGGCTTACGCAACACGTCTCTCTTGTTCGAGGAATGTATTCTGTTGTTCTATCATCAAATGCATTTATGTCAGTTGTGCCTTGATATCGCCGAAAGGGGGAGTGCTAGAAATGCCAGGCTGTTGTGCCGGGCCATCACCGGTAGAGGAGAGTTGCTGTCGAATCTACCCATCAGCACTAGTTGTTCCTTCTCCTTCGTTACGGTTGGTACTAGGGATTTGGTTGTCGTCAGCAGTATGGCTCCTTTGGCAGCACGAGTGGGTGCCTTGGAAAATTCCTTGATGCATAACGATTGGAGGGCGTCCATAGTGCTGAAGTTACTCAGCAAGCAAGTACTGTATACGAAGTACTCGACTTATATGGTTGGTGAATCCGATATCGGCTAGCGATAAAGGGGTTCTGTTTATAGGTATGAAGAAGGGTGATCTTATTGTTATGATACGAAGTGAGACTATATAGAATCCACTAGAGTCGCACCTTCCATATTGATCCCTAACAGCGATGAGAATCGGATTTATGTTACTCCAGTGTTAGGCTTAATTAATCGGGCTTAGTAGCTTAGCTATGCAGCTGAAAAGTTATGCGAGAGCCATTTTAATCGAACCCAGTATTTCTCAACCCTTGGATAAATTCCGAAGCAATGGCAACAAAGGGTGTTGCTGGACTTGCCAGTCTTATTACCGAATTTGAAGGCTCAGTTTATCGTCATGTGCCAGGCTACATCGCAAAGTTCTGGCCAAACGTAATCCCGATAGAACTACAAGTGCCTACAACCTCGACGTCAAAGACAGTATCTTCTGCTGGCACCTCGCCGGCCGAACCCCATGTTATTGAGGACCTGGGAGAATGGGTTTCCTCCGTCCAGCCCCATCAACTCCTCAGCGGCCAAGTTCAGATCATCACCACACCCTATCCTATGGCTCAAAGCAGCGATGCGAACCATGGGCAGCACGCAAGCATATTGATTGCGTCAAAGCACGCAACAAAAATATCTAAGATTTGTCCCGGAGCGGATGTCCAAGTCCTAGGACTCATTGAGAGCGGACCCAGTCTGGTTCCAGACGACGCGAGAGTTCTAAGGTTTTGTAAGATGGCTCGAGATTTTCTGATCGTCCGATCTGAGCGTCGCCTTTTGCATGCATTCCACATGTACAACTCAACCTTGGAAATATGGACTTTTGATAGAGCAGGGGCAGTCAGTAGTGAAGCTGTCAGTAGTGAAGCTGTCAGTAGTGAAGCATTCAGTATTACGAAGAAACCTGATGACTTTGCGCGTATTGTGGCTAGGAACATGTCTTTAGATGTCGAAGATACGGGTCTGCAGGAGGTATTGAAAGAGGATGATCAAGGTGTTTTTGTTGAAATAGCTGATTCACCGAGACTGTATCTCGAAGATGCGTTCTTCAGACCTGACTGTCTTATAGGACCTGGTACAATATGCTTCAAGGCTCGTGCAGCACACACTAGAGACCAAAACTTGGTCGTCAAATTCGTCTGGACCGAGACGGGATCTGCGGAAAAAAAACTACTTGCACTTACAAATACCAAGAAGGTTTTTGGCATTCTCAAGCTCGAAGCGTACCGGGATTTGGGGGATATTGCTAGCTTTCAACATCGGCAAAGACTACAACTCTGCGAATCTTACAAATTCCACTGGAGAATCAGGAGGATGAAGCGTCCGTAACAGTACAGGCAACACCCGTCGCCTGCCCGTCAGAGAGAGACACTTCCAACTCGCATGTTGAATGCTCAAAATTCGACAACCTACAATTTGAGTGTCTCGTCACTTCACCTCTCGGACGACAGCTCGATGACTTCTCCTCCATGGTGGAGCTCATTACAGTATTCCGCGACATCACCAAGGCGCTTCAATCTCTGTATCTCGAAGCCAATATTTTCCACCGCGACATCAGTCGACAGAACATCATCATCGTCTCTCCACTGTTTCCCGATTCTCCTACAGGAATACTCATTGATCTGGATGGCGCGCTCGACTTTACGGAACCTTTACCAGAGATTCAGCTGCTGATCGGCACCTCGGGATTCATGGCCTGCGGCATCCTAGGCGGCGATGATCATACATATCGCCATGATCTAGAATCTCTATTCTACGTCTTCCTATGGCTGGCAATATGCCATGATGGAGTCACTTCTAAGCACATACCGGCATCAAGTCGTCTTCACGCCTGGATGGGCTCACCACGCACGGGCATGAAATGGGGCGATGTCTTCAGAATCAAAAGAGCCGATATGCAGCCGACGGAGTTCTCGAAGCTTGTGGAGATGGAGTTTAGAGAGCCCTTCAGACCGTATCTGCCGATGGCGATAAGATGTCATAAGTTACTGTTCCCGATGCGGGATGGGAAGATCTTCATAGGTACCGATCCTAGTCGCGCGGCAGCAGAACGACTTTATAAAGAGATGATCGCTGTGTTTGAAAGCTATATTTATATGTAGAAAGGAGAATCGGAGAAACTTTCGCAATATACCACTTAAAGATCAAACTATTTGTGACTGATTGTGTCAAGAATATTAACATCTTTTAGACAGCTCAAGAAATACAAACCAATCTCATGTCCAACCACAGCGCAAGAGTAAGAAAAGAGACGCCTGAATTGCCTTTTCTTTGCCTTCGCCGTATATCAGCATATATTGACATCGAAAATGCCTAACAGTGAGTATCTCATATCTTCTTTGCAAGTCGTCTCACGAGTCGCTGCCCATTCCATTCGTTCGGTGATGCTGACTGCTGTTGAGCAGGAAGCGTTGTCGAAGTCGACTAAGGTCATCATGAACCTCGGATAGAATTGGCTCCGCTCCATGATGATAATCGGTACCTTGGGGTACAACCAGGCAAGGGTGCACAGCCACAAGTGTCAAGAAGTGGAGCCCGCTTAAAAAAGTTATCTATAAAATCAGCGACACTTAATTCGCCTTCTACTGTAACGTGGTAGTATTCATAAGCCTTTTTCGATTAGTTCAAACGAGAGAAGCATATCTTGAAGCCAAATTTCGTCTGTCTACACGGCTTGCAAGGAGAATTTTCTCTGGAGCATCGCGCTATGCAACAAAAATCAAAAACATTTCCATATAAGATTTCCGCAGACGTCACGTTCGATCCCGGCCAGTGTCTGGGTTCCGGACTCCCTGTCTTCGACAGGAGTGGTCACCTCCAGCCGGCTAAGTGATTGTGGATAACACGTGAGTTTGGTCAGGTGACACTGAAAACGAAAAGCCATTTTGGAACCGTCAATAGATTGTGGCCCGTACTAAAGACAGTCCAATTAACCGCCGCCGTCGATCTCGACATTTATCCAATGTATCTACAGCGCAGACCAAATAACTTTCTATCCAGTAGATCCTCCGCTTCTTCAATGAGCATTAAGTCCTCAAACCTGAAGAGCTAATCTATCGTACCTCCTTGGGGGGGGTCCCCCGGGGTCAAATAAATTCCAATTTATCGTCAAAGAAATTAAATATATTATCTGCGATTACTATTTCCAAGTATTTGATCCTGCTTCGATTTGATCAATTATCTTTTGTTGAGCTGGGGTCCGAGAAGAAGATGACCCCGGGGTCTGAGAGGAACGAGAAGGTTGTTTTTGAGAGGATGAGATTTGAGATGAACGAGAAGGTTGATTAGTATTAATCCTCGATTGTCGAGAAGGTGGAGTTTGAGCAGAATGAGAAGGTTTTTTATGAGAGGACGGGGTCTGAGTAGGACGAGAAGATTGTTTTTGTGATAGCGGGGTTGAAGATGATGAAATGTGAGAAGGTTTACCACTGTCAATCCTCTGTTTTTGAGAGGACGGAGTTTGTGATGGACAAGGTTGAGTAGTACTAATCCGTGATTGTTGAGAGAATGAAGTCTGAGCGGAATGAGAAGATTGTTTTTGAAATAGCAGAGTTGGAGATGGTGAGATATGAGAAGATTGACTACTATCAATCCTTGGTTGTTGAGAGAACGGGGTCTGAGCTCGATGGAAAGGTTGTTTTTGAGAGGATGAGGTTTGAGATGGGGTTTGAGAGAATTGATCAACTTTCTCTTGGTTACCCTCGTTTTCTCCTTGGTTATTTGATTGTTCATCTCCATCCGATTCTTCGCTGTTGCCATCGCGATGCAAATTCATAACTGCACCACTAAGGAATTCTGGATGAGATTTAGGTGACTCGGATGAAGGACCAGGATCTCCTGAATAAGAGTTATGTTTATAATGAGATTCCTCAGCTATGAAGAGATCGAAAGCAATGTTAAGCTTTTGTATTCTAACATCCAGTTCTGCGGAATAAGTCTCAATAAACTTTTTCTCTGGCATTAACAAATATCTTTCCGCAGATTTCATAACAGCTGCGGAATTCCAAGATCGAGTACCTGTAAAAGCTTGCGAAACAGGATTATCCAAAAGTATATCAACATTAAACGAAAATGATGGTGAGTAATGTAATCCAAATTCATCAAGATCCTTGTATTCGTAAATAGGTATCAGATTTTGATGACTCGATCGAACTTTCTCGTATTCCATGTTATTATCCAAAGTAACGCCGTTATCCATCAAACCAGCGTATCCAATCGATACTATAGTACACTCTTCGGTTTTAGGACATTGATATCTCAACACAGATCCATTAGCTATCAAGGCAGCTTGAGGTTTGATATCTACCCATTGAATTGGTTTTATCTTTGAGAGCAGCTTTGTAAATATCATTATTGTAAAGCCAGGCCATATAATTCCAAGAAGATAATGATTTGTAGGAGTGATCGGATATAATGCGAGGAAGGAGAATGTTCTGTTGTTTGGGGTCGGTGGCTTTCAAGATTTGATGATAGTTGATTGTGGGTGTTTGTATTTTCGTAGTACTACCTAGGCCTACAAGATCGATAAGAATAGTAGTGGTATTCCGAGCCTCGGGGCGAATGTATTTCTTAGTATATAAACTAGCTAGGTCAGTAGGAGACTAAATTATATCGATTTTAGCATCAGATGGAAAATACTTTAATGGTTCTGGGAGAGTAATCAACCGATAATTATGATCCCGCCGATGTTTTACAGTATAATACCATAAACTGAGATCGCCACGGAAAAACTGCTGTAAAATAGAGAAGTAACAGTTATGAAGAAGCATATCAGAGTTGAAATTGCGAATATGCCATTTGTAAACATCAACTACTACACCAAAGATTATTTGTAGTTTTTTGTCTCGTAAAATTTGGTTTAACAAAGGTAGCTCCAGGTAACCTGCCCGAGACAGTTTAAATCCATCCACAGGAAATTTCAATCGAGCAATGAATCGTCGATTGTAAAAAGAAGTGAAAGCTCCCTTGACTAGAAGGAAACGCATCTGACCCAAGGTAAGTGCTTGACGTTGTTTCGCTGCTTGTTTATTATAAGTAAACTATGAATAATAATCATAAGCTAATCGGATGCAATCGATCTCTTTTTGATTGGTATAGAGGAAGACAAGACAAAAACGGAGATCTCTATTGGAAGCAGTAATTCTCAAATCTAACAGTTTTGCAAGCTGCTTAATATGAAAATGACAAAGACGAGCTTCTTCAAAATCCAACAACACCTGGACCAATTGGATCATATCCAACCAACCAACATGCTTTGCAACGAATCCCTGATCTACTAATCGATACCAGGAAGCAGGGATACTAGTGGAAGATAGCTTAGGACAGTTGCACAATTCATGCTGAAGCGATCCTATAGCATCAACGGATTCATTCTCGTCAGGTCTATCGTTGGACCTATCGTCAGGGTCGTCACCAGATTCATCAGCTGATGCATTGATTAGAACTCGGCTTTTGATTCGCCGAGATTTGTGCTCTTTGTTCATCATTTTTCGCCGAGTAAACATCGAATCCATAAGAGCGATATTCTGAGGAGTAGTCTTAGAAGTATCAAAATCTAAACCGTATTCTTGCCTACTTGTGTATTCCATGGAATCATAGGTATCTTGCTAGGGATATCGTGATCGAAGATAACACCAGAGAGCGAAAGAGGTTCCTTATCAAGATTCTCTGTATCTTCATGATCAGAAGCAGGAATCTCGCTCGATAAAAGATCTTCATTGCCAGATGCACATGGAAGATCGACACTGTTGGATGTAGATGAAGCTTCTAGACCAGTAATTGTAGATAATGGAGTAGAATCATCCTTATCTATTTCGCCTCCATGTTCTATAAAACCACTACCATCCCATATACTAAGCATCCCAAGGTTATCCTTATGAAGGCCTAGATTGTGAAGGAATGAAATATCGGAATTGTAACTGGTAGGAAGGTATTTATTTTTGAGATTCTTGTCTACCTCATCCCAATCAGCATTAATGTAATGTTTGAGCTTTGAGGTAGCTTGTGCTTTAAGGTTGAGCAATCAATTGATGAGTGTACCATTGAGTCGCTCAATCGTATCTCATGAATTGGTCTTGCTGGCGATAACACCCATACATGTACAAATATGATCTCTATCATATTTATATATTCTTGCCCAAGTATCGACAATAGCCAATCCACCCTCTTTTTTTTCCTATGCGTTCTATACACATAATATACCATTATCTCTCTTCCTTTGTATCTTGATACTGGCAACCTTGGCTAGTTTATCCTTTTCGATAACCCTATGCTTTGCTTCTGTAATATCAATACTTTCATAAAGGCATTTGGTTACAATTCGATCCATGGATATTTCGGCGATATTCTCGTGATAATTGGAGGCTTCCAAGGAGGTACCAGCAAGATTGTTGAAGAAATTATATTGTTCCGATACAGTCTTCAAAGAATCACCATATGCAGTAATCCCCTCTGTATCTTGAAGTTGAAGAGTATTCCTAATATCGTATCTCCAGATGCAGATGTGAGAACTGAATAATTGTTGATAGGAGTTTGCTCGAGTTGATTTGATATCATATCTCTAGATGCGGAAGTAAGGTCGTTAGATGAAGTATGGAAAGCTGTTGGGACATGTACTACCAGGAAACTGTTCCATATCTCGGGTTTGAACAGTCTTTCGCTATCTAAGATGTTCATCACCTTGGTTCCATTGTTTTCTGCCAGTAGGAGATCCCTAGTGGCAATATTGGTAAGTCTACTACCCCACTTTCGGGCCACCCTCAAAAAAAAAGACCCTCATCTCCCACACCATATAACTCAACAACTATTCAACTTCAATAAAATCGCCTCTACCACTACTTTCAATTGTATCATCGCTATCTTCTGCATTAATTCCACGGTTTCCAGTTATGATTTGCACCTCCCTGATAGCTCTAATCCCTGTAAACCTGGTATTTGGACTAGTAACAACCTTACGTCTTTTCTTAGATACAACAGCATCCAATTGATACTCCAATTGTTTTATACATTTCCCCGATTCTATAAGATTATAGTCTTTGATATCAAAAGCTTTAATAATCTTACAAAAAGCAAGTGTCTCGTTGCCAAATCGGGCTCTTTTTCTTGAGTCATAGTCGATGCATATAATTGAAGGTCCATTGCTTTTTGAAGGATTCTCCAAGTAATAACTGATACCCCTATGTTCCATTGAAACTGGGGATCATCATCAGAGGCTGGGTTAGGCACTAAAACCTTTTGGTTGCTATTCTCAAGCAATAATCGATTCATAAAGGGTTTAGCACGGTTTTTGGACTATAGACCCAATACTTTCCACCCAGCTTTAATATTATGAGTTATTAGACCTTCCATTTTAGCCTTCTGATAGCAATAAAGGAAACTACACTTTCCAATTGGTATAGAATCAAAAAGAGAATTCAGATTATTGAGTACATATCGATAGATATTTTTCAGAGATGAAAAGACTGATAAATCTAATGGTTATAGAACATATAATATATATAGTAATAGAAATAAAAGATATATATTGCTTTGGAAATATTTGTACATGAAAGGTATAGTTTTATGACTTCCATACCCATCCAATATAAAAAATTGTAGTTTTTCGACTTGAAAAGGTGTGACCAAAAGGGTATAAACAGGACTCCGATTGTGTACTTAGAATCTACAAGTGAAGAGCTATGTAGGATGCTAAAAGGAGGACTATATATACAGGTATTGGGAGCCATAAGGGCTAGGCCAAAAAGGGTGAAAGGGTCCTAGGCGTAAGATGCCTAGGTCTAGAGCTATAGAGCTAGGGCTCTAAGCTGTGAAAGGAAGGTCCAAGAGAGCCGTCATATCATACTATGTATGTAGTATGAGCCAGTGGGCGGAAGAGAGCCGTCTGTTCCGTCACAAAAGGGATAATTTGAAATATAAAGACCTTTTCCAACCATTTTAGCCCCGTTACATCCATAATCCACCCATTTTCTGTAGCAGTGAAATTCCAATCCTTATAAAGATCAAGATCAATAAGAAACCATTGTTATTGAACATGTTTTCCCTTATATATAACAAATGGTTTGAAAGCCCGTCCTGTCGCCGAAATACACTCGATAAAAGACATTCAAACTCTTGAACCAGGCTATTTTTTTTTGAATATAACAACACTGGGAGTTTTCTACTACTAGTTCATTAAGATCTTGACCCTCCATTATACCAGCCTCGTCCATATTGTATCGATTTTCAGGTTTTATATCGATAATCTTTGGTAAATCGAGTTTTCGAAACCATAGCGCAATAATATCATATAAAGCACCCGAAACTCGGGCAAAGTCGATTTTATATTGTCTCTTGATTCTAATCTCTGAATTCCTCTCCAAAAAGTTGTGTATCCATCGTTTTCTAAGAATAGAATCGATTTCTTTTATATCGAAAAGACGTTTTTCAATTTTACGAATTTGCCAATGAGTAGAACTAATACCCAAACTCTCCTGTACTAATATCCATTCTACTAGTCGTCTCTACTGAATCGGGGCAATCTTTTGCATCATTTGGGCACCTTTTTTATAGGAGACTTGCCCATTGATACAGTTCTGAAATGTGGTACAAGGGATCCCATAATCCAGAGTAGCTTTTCGTACTGAAACACCATTTGCGATAGCATTTAAGGCTTCAGCAATATTGTCTTCCTTATAGAGGTTCGTCATTATATGAATAATAGTATTTTCAAAATTTGAAATCAATTGATTGAATGGTTGTTTAATCATGAAATATTTAAGAAGGTAGGTTGCTGAGGCGGTGTGGGTTTTTAGGGTGGCCCGAAAGTGGGGTAGTAGACTTAAGTCATATCGCCTATCCTGTACGGGTTAGCGAGATTGTTAAGATGTCCTTGAAATCAAGGCCAGGGATTTCTTTTGCCAGGGACGTTCTGAGAACGTATGGATCCTTTCTTCTGAGAAGAGATCCTGGTTTGGCCACTACTAGGATCCGGATATCCTCGCATATTTTAGTAGATCTTTTTGGAAGAGTTTTTCCCTTAGAGGCTGGTTTAGCATGAGAGGTGGCTTTAGCTCTACTTGGAGAAGTGCCCGAAGTTTTCGGGGTTTTCGCGATGTCCGCCCAAGAGCTCGAGTTTGTTTTCTCTTGCCTTTGTTGATCTTGTTGTTTTCGTTGTTTCTCCGGAGTACTTTTAGGACTCAGATTGTATTCGAGTTAGTCTTGGAGAATCTGAATTGTCTCCTCTTGAAGTGCCTTCGCAAGTTCAATGTGGAGCGGTGTGCGTTTCTCCGTGAAGAATCCTATATGGTTTAGATATGATTCGAAGACCTCTTGTCGGGTATAAGCTTCGTTTTTTGGCGGAGTTTAGACGTTTAATGATCTCCTTTACTCCGGCCGGAGGTAAATGTTATAGCTACAGTATCTTCTGGGGAGCTTTGAAAGAGCTCCCCTCCATTGCTTGTTCGAAAGGGGGTAGGTGAGTTGAGTGTTGTCCGTCGAGTGAAGTCGGCGTCGGCTCTGGGAGGGGTGCGGGTGGGTGTCGCTGGAGCCATGACTCGGCGGCGAGGTAACACCTGCGTTTCTTTTCGATGAGTGGTGTGTATACTGTAGTACGTGTGCTCAATATGTCATTGAGCTTGCTGTCGCGAAGATGGAGTTTTTCGACTTTATTATGAAAACGGTTTGAAATACTTGCTACAGAGTTAACAAATTAACATCGCGTCATAACGACCCCGCAGAAGTATGATCTTTGATCCGGTCCTTGTTGTTGCAATAGCCGAATAGAACTTAGCACTTACAGATAACCAGAATTCATTATCCTTCAATAAATCGTCATAATCTCCAGGTGGTCTTTTCCCCCCAACCACTTGCGGCTTTAAATTTGACCTCCCCCGCTTCGAATCGGATAAATCCATAAGTTTTGCCTCGTACACCTTTATACATAGGGTTACCCACCAGAGCTACCCGTGGGCTATCCATTGGGATTTTAAACCAACCCACCCCGTAGGTTGGTTTAATATCCCGACTCTCCTTGTACAGTGGTGTTTTGACAGTCGGATGTGTTCTTCTTGAAGGTCTTATCCTCTTTGTGTTGTTGAAGTGTAGTTTCCATGCACAGGCGTGCAGTTTTTTGCTTCCTTGGATTTCTCTTCCAGCAAGCGCTCGAATCTTCCATCAGGAAGCAAATCTTTTTCCTGAAGATGATTTTGGGGAGAATTCACACCACAAAGCTTCCCCCTAAGGTTATACAGATATCGTTATAACCTTTCCGGGAAGCTTTGTGGTGTGAGCAGAGTGGCGTATGGATTTTGTGATTTGCGCTTTAGACAAGGAGCAAGTCGCGAGAATTATTGCAGGTCCGAGGTAGCCACGATCTCCGATATTTGATACCTAGACACTGTCAACAGGAAGGACTTTTGGATGTGGGGCAAATTGTATGTTTCACCTCGATACTATCAAAATACTGCTCTCCAGTCCCACGCTCATTTAGAAGACCTGGCAGGCTCTCGGTCGCGATTGCCAAGAATGGTTTTTGTGTGTTGGGGAGTGGATATGACCATCCTCGACAGGTAAGGTTTGGCAATGAGGGAGATGATAGAAGACATCGTGAAACGACAGGTCCAGCTGTCAATGAGATAACTATGTGCCGTTAGTATATAGTGCAAACGGGACAAGACAACATTACTTACTTTGTGGACGAGGGACACCATATCGGAAAAACATTGGGAAAAATTAGGCACGAGACGAGGCATATGCAAAACCGAGAAATATACGGCCACATGGTGCATCGCTTGCTGTCGAGGCATACGAGACATAGGAGCTACTACCACCGGGGCCGACAAAGTTCTGGTGAAGGCGCAAGCGACTCATGCTGGCACAGCAAACAATTAGCAACTGCACAAGCTATTTTTGACTGAAAAGACTTACACAACGGATCACGACACCTCAGCCTCATGTATAGAACTTGAACAGGTGTAGATTACTGCTTTTGTGAAAAGTTCCTGATTAGTTTCGAGCATTCAATTGAAAGCTTTCTAAGGATTTGTGGGTTGGGGGTGGGATGATGAGGGGGTTGAGAGTCTCTCATCCTTGAGAGATTTCGATAAAGCTTACCAATGTAAATGTGGACAGTGTAAATGTGGAAGTCCGCAGTCAATCAAAATGTGAAGAGACTACAACTATGTGCCATGTCTCAACACCACGAAGATCCTACCAGTAGGTTCTTCGAAGGGATGTATGATTGAGCGACATTATGAAATAGACTGAAAAAGAGTAACAAGAAAGGATCTGATTGATAAGGATAAAATATTATTATTATATAATCTGAACAGAGAATTGAGCACAAGTCTGAGTTGCATCCCAGGACGCCATGACACATCGATCCGAAAAGCAATCAGATAAAGCTCATCAGGATTGGCCGGAAAAAGGTGTTCTCCCTCATTCATCTCGGTGGAGATCTATAGTGGAAAGGTAGAGTTTATGATAGGAAGATAGAATCTATAGTAGGAGATTAGATTCTAAATGGTATAATAGTAATTTACTGTTTATTATATTCATTTACTTATAAAACTGATTCAAATTATATTAAAATTGTTCAACTTTCTTCTTTCCTGATTTCTTTCTGCCTTCCGATATTAAGCCTATTTGCAATATTCACAATCACAACAATATTTAAGCTCTCTATATCCATTCCGAAAAGGAATTATTTGGTAAGTACACAAATCAATACAAAATGTATCAAAATTGTTCTTTTAAAAAAGGTCTTCTTTTTTCTCAAATTGTTCAACTTTCTTCCTTCCTGATTTCTTTCTGCCTTGCGATGTTAAGCCTATTCACAATGTACCTCAATACTTAAGCTTTCTATATCCATTCCAAAAAGGAATTATTTAGTAAGTACACAAACCAATACAAACTTTATCTATTCAATATTCATCAAAATGGATTTCAATCATTTCTCTTCAGAATCAGAGTTCAGAATTTTTATTAACAATGAAGAAGAAATCGAAGAAATGGCAGCAGCAAAAGCGATAATGGAACTGCATGATGAAATACGAGAATTACAAGCAACACACAAGGAAGAGCTTGCTTCCACACGCACTCAAGATCAAGAAACACACGCCCAAGAGCTTGTTTTAATGGAAACAAAGCATACGGAAGTGCAAGCAAAGCACACAAAAGAGCTTGCTTTAATGTAAACAAAGGTTATTACATTGAAGCAAGTTATTGGAATTACAATTGCAATTGCAATTGCTTATTTTCTTTTGACACAACAGGTAAATCCTCCTCTTCTTCAAAACGATCGGAATATAACTAACTCTTATCTTTTTTTTTTTTTAAAGAATTTACTCTTTACATTACCCTATTTGACACTTAAGCATTGCTTCTCAAATACAACAATGTTTGGTTAAGAGTTTGGTATACGAGAATTCGGTCGTATGATGGAATAATAGGGTTAGGAGGGAGGGAGGAAATTGAGTGAGGTATTGATTGATTGATTGATTG